GTGGTTTAATTTTACATTTGACTCTTTTTATTACTACTACTGCTTTTTATTATGAATTCAACGTGTGCTGTGCTATTTGTTTTGTTCAACAATACTGCGAAATTTCAATCGTTGAATCGATCAGCCAACAAGAACACTTTAGTTTCTTGGTTTCGTCACTGCTGCTGCTGACCGTACATATACAACAACAGCAACAGTAATAAAGTACTTATAATGGTTCGTATAAGAATTGTATTTTGTATTCTAATGTGCACTCGGACAAATGGTTCGACCTGGGAATGTTAATAAATATAATGTAGACGGGAATGCTGGCCACGAGAGGTACGTAATCGAAAGATCGAAACTAATTCCATTATCTTATCGATATTTTTTGCTGAAGGTAGCTAAATTTAGAGATATTGTACAAGGTTTGAATTTGGACATCATCATTCAACCAATTGCTCTTTGAACCGGGGAGAGACACGCCTGTCCATATGCAAACGTATAATATCTGATGCACGGGATGGACATTTGCTTATTCGCCTCGATTTTACCAGCGAAACGTATCATAAATACAGAGTTCCGGTCGAATCGAATAATGGCTAATTCGATTTGATTCGAGTAATTCAAGTCGAAATTTCGAATCAAAGTCTTTGGTTTCGAATCAAATTAAAAGTGAAAGTCTACATCGATTCGACTCGACTCGACTCGAATAATAGCTTAGTTCGCTTCGAATCGAATTCGAAATTTGATAATTCGAATCGAATTCGGCAATTCGAATCGAATTCGGCAATTCGAATCGAATTCGACAATTCGCCAATTCGAATCGAGTATATTCGATTCTATCGGAACACTGCACACATAAACATTTTAGTTATTTAGCAATACACAACTCCTCCATTCGTACCTAATACTTACATTGATACATTTCCTGTCAAAGGTTTCCATACCTTACAAACCTACAGGGTTAAGTGGAAAATGGCAAAATTAATGGAGATGATTGACTTGTTTTAGTTTTGGAATTCATGAATGGTCATAAAGACAGCTTTTTAGAATGGAGTAATTTAACAGGATAAATTTTCATTCTTCTGCCGCGTGGCGTAGACTTTTTCTTGCCACAAGTTCTAAAGGGTTTTCCCGTTTTGCAAATTATTGTGTGTGTCCCAAGTCAAGTATTTGCTAAATGAGATTGTACTTAGGGAAAGTGGGCATGCCCGTTCCATTAATATTAATCATGCTCATCCCTGTTGTTACTACGACGAGTACATTACGTTGTTCTCATTCCTTTGTACACTCATTTTCTCAAAAGTCTGCCCATTTTGCCTTTTCATTTGTAAATACCATCGTGGTGGCTGACACACATACCGAAGTTGGTGCTGCACAATGTTGCTCTCATGTGGATATTTCTTTGTGCTCTGCTTTTCTGCTTTATTTCACCTTTTCGTCCTCTTCGAATAATGAGTTAGAGAAAACATGGGTCTCATGTCGGATTAATATTGCAGAATTTTATTATGTAACAATTATGTCGTGTCCGGAGCGTACTTTCTCATAAGTTGTCCTAGTTAATTGCACCCTTGAATAGAATATAATGATATTCCGAAATCATATTGATTTCGAAACCGCGAATCCAACCATACCATTTTCCTACCATTATTAAATATTGGCGAGGAATGCAGTTCGCCAACTACTGTAATTATATGGAAAAATATGCAGGTGATTGCACATAGATTGGTACTCGTAACCCATGATTCTCACCGCATTCTAATTTTCAATATCAATTATTTATTCTTTCCTTGTACCCTTTACATAAACATGTGTTTCCCCTAACGAACTATCACATGCAGACGTGCAGTTAGTTGCATGCATACAAGTGCATTTGGTGGCCTGCCACCCTTACGCTATTATTACGGAATCGACGTGCTCCTCATATCAATACACCAAAGATTTAGCCCAACAAAGGTGAAACACAATACTACGAACTTTGTTAATGCTTACATAACACTAAGAAAAGTAGTTGAGCAGCATAAAAGAACTATTAACTTAAACGAGAACAAACTTGGTGATTATGCAACAGAATTTTTATCAAAATCGCCTCCAGTCAATTGAGTTTGAATGTTTGATCAGGAAAGCGTAACTTATTAGCAGTGTAAACATAAACGGATGAAATACGTACTTTCACTTCTCTAAATTAACAAGGTGTTCCGATCTGACGTAATAATTTGTTGTATTTTCAGACTATTTAATTATTCCACCCTTTGAATTAACCTGGCTCGAGCATGAATATCTTCTGGTCATGACGCCATCCAAAAATACATTATGACAGCCCCATCATTAAACAAATAAATTGAGTTTCACCGCCGAATTGACGCTGAAACGAGGCAAGTAATAAAAAAGAATATTCACCCAAATCCTTGCGAATAGTGAGGCCGTGAACCACACATTTTGCGTGGACGTTATGCTGGGAGAAAGGCATAAATATAGTGGGAACCAGATACGACCCTCATTTACTTTCACTTCTCGGCAGCCTGAGACAGTGATGCACTATACTCGTGCACTATACATACGAAACTGCCGTGTGCATGTAGTTGTCGTCGTATGAACACCCGTAGCAGCAGCACGGCGTGTTGTGTGTGTATATTATAGACAGCAATCCACCAAACGTTCTCCTGTCCTAGTGAAACGATACACTTTAAATGAATAAAGAATGAGCACACTAAATTCTAATATGACTCCTGCTGCACATAACTTAGGCTTAAGTGGCTTTTAAACTGGAGAGGAATAATCTATGTCCTCCTTTATATTAATACTTCTTTCTTACGTATATCCTCCTCCTGCCGTCGTCTCAACGTTGCTATGATTTCTCCATACTTGGGGGGAAGATCATTAACTATACGGAATAATAATGTTGTCTATGGAATATTGTTTCAGCGTTAGATTATGTTGCAGTGTTTTCTTGGGAGAATTGTTCTCGGGATGTGAGTAGTATTCTGCTGATAGTTTAACCTCATTATCGTAGGAGTAAAAGCAACCTCTACATAACTCTGTGAAAATTTCACTTTTCTCTCGTGATGAATTTACCATCAACTGCTACACATGATGATGTAAATAATGCTAATTTATATTAGTCGGTTGGTTGCTTGGTTGGATGGATGGTTGGTTAGGTGGGTTGGGCGGTGGGTCGGCTTGATTGAATAAAAGTAACCACCATAAACCACCTTGTGCAATCTGCGAGTGTGATTGCAAAATTTTGGGCTGCCAAAATGGTGAAAACGCAAAGAATGATGGTGTACAAATGTGGATCTGGAGAATGAGTGAATGGATGGATGGATGGATGGAGAAAGTTGAAAGGAAGAGTGGAATGCAGCCTTTAGTTAGTTAACTTATGGGGCGAGTTAGTGGGAGTGCGAAGAATTTAACGAATTCCCCATTCAATTATCACTTCCCAGTTCAATTAGCAAGTCAACGAAGAACTAATCCGTCATCTTACTGCCACTCCTCCACGTCCAACTTCCTAGAATTCATTCGGGGCGTTTTGATTTGACTTTCTCCCTGACAGATCTATACCCCAAAATTCGTCATATACCCCAAAACCTCCACTACCTTCACAAATATACGTTTCTATTGATCTTCCTCATAATTATTTATCCACTTCTCTCGAGGTCAAAGCGGGGGCATTCCAGTTCCGTTCTTGGAAGAAGGTGGGTGAGAGAAAGTTGGTCTCCATTCACCCCGAGGCAGATTTGTCCTTCTGCTCTACATACGCAGCAAGGTAAATTCTGGCGTTGTATGGCTGGTATCATTTACGACGTTATTACCACACGATAACAAGTGCGAATAAAATTTCATTATCGCCCATAATATCTTAATCTCGTCGTGGAGTAAGGTGTGCAAGTGGAGTGGGGGCGTTTCGTTTTTATTGTTTTTTTGTGCATGTAGCCTTTCCGTTTTGAGGTTTCAAGGTTGGAGGGGAGAATGAGGAAGGCACAGCAGTGTCGTTCGTTCCTTGGAGGTGGGAAGCCATGAGAAGTGTACGAAACGAATGAATGAATTTATGCATGACCTCGCTTGAGATTCTGATCGTTTCAGATTTGTACATATTCGTCTTAAAGACCCACGAGATTCAACCCTGTATTTTACGTTCTTTGCCCTGAAATGTGTCGGAAATGTCAGAAAATTGTAAAATATTAATGTATTTAAATATTTAAATGCCCGAATATTCGCCGCTAGAAACAATTCTGCTGGACTGGAGCATGAATAGAGTTTGGATGGATGGGAAATTTGGGCCAGCAGCATTTTAATTCAGTCTCATGCCATGGCAAATATGTAGCTGCTGTTGGATTTGCTCAACTTTCCCGTTGCTGCTGTGTAGCGTGTTGGTCGGAGAAAATGAAAAATGCCTTTAGTAGTCGCACTAGTAACAAACGGAGCATTGTGTTCTTGCCCCAACAACACAAACTGGAATAATCTGTCAGATTGCGTGTTCCTCCATTTGTATATTTGTACAAAATAAATGCAAGCATGCATTATTACCAGTCCTATCGTGTTTGTGTGTCAAGCTAAAAAATGGTGTTTAGTAGTTGTTGTACATTGCGCTATTTTGCCAAATTGTTGGTGTAATTCGCCTATACTTTACTGAATATTACCACCACCACTGCTGCTGCTATTCGTGTTTCGTTGCAAGTTTTTTTGCAAATAATACGTGTATGAAATTCAATGCACAGAATAGCGAAGAATAGAATAACTGTATTTGTAATTGAGTATTGACACAAAAAATGTGTCATTCGTTTACATACAACTTTGTCGTAAGAAGTCGTGAGTAATACATAAGTGTCCATTGAGGCTCGAGTGTTTTTTATTCAATTACCCCAGTACACGTATAATTTCCGTATTACATAATACATACTTATGCAACCATTATCTTGTGTCCACTTTGAATGCAAATGATGTAAATGCTTCATAATTTATTAATATCGGCGATATTTGTTACATTCTGATTGTAATTAGTTTTTAAAAAAACTCACCAATTTTATGCTTCCCAATTGACAAACTGCTTCACGATTGTGTTTTAGACGATCGGAAGAACCAAGTCCAAGCCAAGGAAAGTGTACAGTTCGTAAATAATGTACTCCTCTGGACGATGGGTGACGATGTAACTAGTCTAAAATTTGCCAAAGGCCAACAGAAATAGAGTAAATTTCACGTTTCCCAAAACCGTGCAAAAATAAGCTTAACAAATCATAGACTAAACAACACGTTGCAAAATGCGATGCAATGTAACTTTTAGAAGTAATTAGTACAAATGTTTCTAATTACCAGCGAAATAGGGTCCGAACGGTGTAATTAGAGGAAAATTGCGAATAAACGTGTACTCGTAACAACAACACTTTCTCTTCGCAGTGTTTGTTTAGAGCTGGAAATAAGTCTTGAAATTCAAACTATGCTACAGCCACTTTCAATAAATAAAGGTTCGCAATCCCCAGTAGGTCGTCGACGTATGTGTAACGCAGCGATGGTATGCTGCACCGCCTCGTCTCACTTGTCTCAAATTTCGCAAAGACGGATTGAAGTATGTCACGCGAGGAAATCGAACCTTGATGTTGATTTGTGGGAAATAATTCCATTTATTCAATATCAAAATTCAAGAGTCGAAACCAACTTGGTTAATTTGTCCGTCTCACTTTCACTCACTTTCACCACTTGTACTCAGACCACCCCAGTTTTCAGGCTGAAACTAAATCTTTTTTTTAGATTGAGAGAAAATTACGGCACAAATTGTGTAGTTGGATTGTTGTAAAAGAATACGATGAGAAAATGAGGATTTTGTTAACAATATGACAAAAAATCAAGATGACGAAAATCTAGGAAATGAATAAGTTTGGATTTGTATGTCAGTTTTTGCGTTAGCAGAACAGATCCGACCCGGTTTGGTGTGCAGTTAGCACTCAACTGAGGCTCGAAATATCTCTCAGCTCACTTTTGTACCAGTTGGGACGATGAAAGTCTGCTCGGGGTGACTTGCTTGGTGCAGGGAAAGAGGAGAAAAAGGGAAATTTCAGACTGCTTTCACTTTCCATGCCGACGTGAGTCCACGCACTTACACACTCGAATCAAGTTAATCTTGAACTTTAAACTAATAAAAAATTTAGTCAGCCTTAGAAATTGTCTAGGATTCATTGCAACGAAGGTCATTCGTGCTGCCATTAAATTATAACCATGCTGAATACATTAATCAGCAATACAGTCGTGGATATATATATAGGGTCGAAAACCTGAGGAATTTGCATTAGTTTCGAGATGAATATGCCGTTAGTAAGTGTGCTTCACTACCTACGAATTTCAATGAGGACGTCAAACATTCGCAGACTCGAGTTATATTAAAAAATAAGTGGTTTTGTTCGCGAGAAAGTAAATACATATGAACATTATTGCAATGACCTTCTTTCCTCCGTAATTTCATACACAACTGAATTCCGAGGACGAGAGCAAACTCTTCTTCTCGCACTACAATCAATGAGAAAATTGACATTAACATTCAAAATTGGTTCTCTTGTTGTTTGGCATTTGTAAGCACGTAAGCTGCCAAGAATTCTAAGAAAGTGAAAGTTTGAGTTGAGAGAGGAACGGGTGAAGATACGCTCGCTCGCTGGCTTCCTTGGAGTAAACTGTCCAAATTTGAATTTAACGAGACGATGCGATAGGAATCGCAATCGGTTCAAGTCGCAACTAAATTTCATAATACAACGTGGTTTCCTTTGATACAAAACTTTCAATTGCATTAATTCTCATTGTGAGTGAGAGAGAGAGTAATGTCGTAAATACAAAGTTTATTGTGCCCCTTGGTATTCTTTTATACGCGTATCATCATCGGCATCATCAATAGTAAAAGTATTCCATGCACCCGATATCTTTTTCAAGTAATGCATACATATGTAAACGCATACGTACGTACATACAGCACACCATAATAATCGTAAAATACTCATCAAAATGAATGACAAATGATTATTTCTGTTTCTTCGCCAAGTTAAAACTCTTTCGGTATGGAGGAGGTTCAAGCTTATGGTCCGTTTTTTTGCAGTTTTTCTCCAAATTTAGAACTAGCATGTTTATTGCAGCATTAGTATTTGTTGCTTGTTAAGTTGGTTGGTTAGTTGGCAGGCCGATTTGCGTGTGAATGGTTAGGTTCAAACACTATTCATATATGTTTATCTGCACAAGTATTACTTTCATGGCGAATTAGCAAGTTGTCCAAGGCTAAAAATTCATACATTAAGCTGCATGCCACTTGTAAATATTTTCACCTGAGTGGATTGTCGGATATTTTAGAATTATTTTAGACTAGGAATGAGCGAATTAAGATCAAACTTAAGTGTGTGAATCATCGAAGTTTTTGCACACACATACACAAATATGTACTCAAAGCATAACCGCACACCCGCTGTGATGGTCATAAAAATGTCGGGCTCTTCTGCTAGGGTACACATATATGTATGTATATATGTAAGTATGCACTGGGTATCAAGTAATGCACAGCTTGTTCACAATTTATGGGTGGATATCACCCTCAAAATTCCGCAGGATATAATGCCATAAATATTTACATTATGCCTAATAAAATTGTGGAATTTTTAGAATGCAGAAGGAATTACTTGGCAATAAGAGTCTGAAATGTAGATCGATATACTTTGAAACTGTTTTAAGGAAAGGCTGCATGAGGTTGAAATTTTATCGTGTAACGATCGCCCTCGAGTTCATCAGTCAATCAATATATATTAAGAGAGCCTTCTACCTACTCCTACGAATACCTAGTCAAAGTGAGCGTGATTTCAATAAATCACCATTGAATTGATTATACGGCTTAAGAAAGTGCCCACTAATTTAATGTTTAAAGTCAAGGAAAGTTTTAAATTTTCTATTCACACAACTCACTGCGTGGTTGGAGTAAGTACCTCCATTTGAATCCCACCCTCTCTCTTTGGAACAGTTCTCGGCTAATTCGTCCCAATCCAAACAATATTCACTCACTTCATCAGACATCTTAATCAATGGCTTCAAATTCTTTTCCAAAATTGGAATTTCCACATTCTATTAAATTTTGAGGGTACAACCGAATTTGCCTAATCCGTCAACCCTTTCTCGCTTCACATCAAGTTGTTGATTACGGACAACTCTCATCTCTTCACACCCTCCCTCCCAAAACTGAACCCACGGAGGACGGTTTTGCATTTGAATTACGGCGAGCGACTGTGATATAGTGTAAAATCAGCCTATTTTAACTTTGATTTGGTTCGAGTGACAGGAAAAATCTCCTCATTGAATCCTGTCAATTGAACCCTCCTCGTTTTGGTCCCCTTCAATCTTTCATTATTGGGAGAAGGAGTATAAAAAAATGCGTAATTGAATTATGTGAACTAAACATCATAATCTACTTAAAAAACTGAGGATTACACATGTGTTCCGTCCAGACGTATAAAAATATTCTCCATATTTTATCTACATAAATAGGTTTGAGGAGAATTTGAATATCGGGAGTTTAAAATTTACCTAGCTCTGGTCTTCGCCTGACTGAATACTATTCAGTGAATAGTACGCTGCATGCACAATGCAAAACGTAATGTAATGCGATCCTAAACCAAATCATGAAATCAGATCGATGCCAAATAGTGAAAAGAGAGAATATTAACAAGAATTTGATTTTTGTCCTCGTACAGAACTTGGCATTGTATTGCATGCAAGGGAGCACAATCATCAGTGATTCTCAATTTTTCCTCACGAGAGAGAGGGTGAAACGTGAAATCATGAAGCCAAACATGTTCAGAAATCATTCAGAAGACGAGGATCAGTCGAAAGGGTCTTGTTCAGATTTGGAGAGAATCACATAGTCGAAATTGCGATGGGTTCCTTATTCGCTTTGGAGTGGGATATTTTGTGGAAAAATATCTGGTTAGGCGTAGGAGTGGAGGGTGCTGACTGTCTCTACATAGATGAACCTAATCAATAAGATGACAATAGGATCGTGGTATTTTTCTTAAAGTCAAGTTGGAGGAGATCAAGATCAAGGAATTGATCCCGATCCGATTATGTGGTGGTTGAGGATGAATTCTTATCCACAAGTTTTCCACCCATTTCCACAATTTCCTGGATTCAAGTGGTCCTTGAGGCAATGTCGTATACGTATTTTACACGCACCTACATACTACTAACTACACAAGACCATTCCACATGCATTTGCTGCTACGTGTGACACAAATTAATTAGTTTACAAAGCAATTTATGTGGTGAAATTACATAATTTTATGGGTAATGAATTAAAAATACATTACTGAAAGTGTTATTTTTAGAACTTTTGCATCTTTTACTCTGGAAATTACGAATCAGCCACTACAACACGATATTTACGAGACCATATCCTTTAACTACGTATTTGTTCTTCCAACTGTAACAATGAGTCGCTTCATGAGTCCGGTTACTAGCGGGCGTGAAATGATGAGAAAGCAGTAAGAAATCTTACCTTTCTATTTACCAATGTTTAAAACATTTTCACAGAAATGTTGATAATAACAAAAAGCAAACAAACACGGTACGAGGGATAATGCAGTCATAAATAAGTGGCACTCGCAAAGTCCAGCAGCATGTCTCATAAATAATGTGATTTTGAGATGGAAATGCTATTGAGACTGATAATGTCCTTTCCTCAATAGACTATTGCTCACTGACGAAAATCCCATGTCATAATTTCTCATAAGAGAAATCCGCCAGACTTTGTACATATTTATCTCGCAGTGCAACAATGATATCCTCCCAAAATTCGAAGAACAAACCAATGACACGTCCTTATCTAACTGGATCAGCCTTGCATCCGATTTCCCAACGAGTATAAAACAGATTGAAAAGCTTTCCTGCTGCTGGTGTAATATTACGCGACATGAAATCGGTAGTAATATCCCTAAATCCGAGAGATATTATCTCAACAGGAATCCGCAGCTTTGATTCTCCGCCATTATTCTAAACTACTTAGGCGAAACAACCCAATAAAATAATATAATGCAATTCATTCTTAGGTAAACCTTGTTTATACCGTAGCAGAATGTTAGTGGGCATGATGATCCTCTGTAAAGTAAAATTTCTTAATTAACCTGCCTTGTTCCTCTTAAAATGACCAAACCCCAACCGATCTCATGACGCGGAACGGTACACAGGACAGGAATTCATGCTTGACTTCATTACTTTATTATTCGAGCAGTTTACTGGAACTGGTCAACCATCCAAAACAGGGGTCGGAAGGTAATGGGGCGATAGTAAAACAATAAAAAGCTCTTTTCTCACTTTGTCCTAATTGGTGAGAGTTTCTCATACGAATGAAAATAAAGGGTTAATTTCCTTAAAAAACTTCGTAATAAATAGATGCATGAAATAGTGGAGGAACTGCAGCGACTAATTAGAGATGGGAATGATAAGCTTACTATTAGAGATAAAATTGCTAAAAATGTGTGACGAGATTTGTAGGTGATTTTCAGACGATGAAATTCTGACATGGGGCGAATAGGGTTCAAAATTCTTCCAACACGACAAGCGCCACTCTGCTGATTTCTCTTTTGCAGTCACGAGTTGAGTTTTATCAAGTCACAAGTTCACTTATCTCTTGGTTTATAATTAGTTAGTTTGATAATCAATTATCTTAGTTTTCTAAATACTTAAACTTAGGCTTGTCGTTGTTCTTAATACAAGCGGAAATATTCAATACTTGTAGTTTTTCCCGTGCACTGGGGAATAAAATTGTTCCGAGTTTCTGCGCGTGAGGCTAATTATTAAAAAGAAAAACTCACAAAATTTAGAGTTTCAAGTTAACAACGATTCGATAAGATGAAGGCAGCTTTAGCAATTGCGGGGGTGATGTTGGGATGCTGTGTAAATGTAATATTTCTGGAATTGTTGGTCAAGTAAGGGGATGCAAAATATATACATCTTAATTATGTATTGCTTAATTATAGGATACCAGTTTACGGATTGAAGTATATTATGATCTTGTTTGTTTAGAGAGGACCCTGGTTCTGGAAACTTGATAAATTTTTGTCAGTTTGTTATAATTTCAATTGAGGGATTCTTCTTCACTTTGAGATGTGGAACAAAGAAGATTGCTGTTCCGCTGAGGTAATATAAAAGATGATAACAGTAGAATTTGATAGGATAGACACTATGTCATGTGAATAATTAAAAAAATACTTTGTGTATTAATCTAGAGAATACTTGGTTTTGGTGGTTCTCTTCTTTGTTGTCAGTACAGCAAATAATATGGCCTTTGCTTTCAACATTTCAATGACGCTGCATTTGATATTCCGATCGGTACCTTTGGCATATACTACAAATGAAAAGCATGTTATTAAAAAGCTGATTTTAATTTTGGTTTTCAAAATTTAGGGATCTCTTATGGCTAACATGATCCTAGGGATGATAATCATGGGAAAAAGATACACCATAACGAAATATCTATCAATAACAATGATCTCGGTTGGAATTTGTATATGCACGATCGCATCTAGTAAAGATATGGAGGTAATTCGAATGTCCACAAAGTTAAATTTTAATATAATACCGTTATGATACTTTATTTTGTGCTTACCTTGCAGAATAAAAGCACGACTCCAATCGAAGGTGGATTCTCAGACTACTTTTGGTGGGTTGTTGGTAAGGAGTTGTAATCAATGATGCGTTAACTGTATTCCATTTATTTGGAATATGTTATTAATAATATGTATTTTAGGGATCACAATCCTTACTTTTGCCTTGTTCACATCTGCTCGTATGGGATTATTCCAAGAAGTTCTCTACAAAAAATATGGAAAGCATCCCCGAGAAGCCTTGTTCTTCACGGTACTTAGTATTACTCGTGATATTAATAAAATTTGAGCACATAAAAATTGTATTGTTTTTGTAATTCTCAAAAATTAGCATTTTCTACCATTACCTGGATTTGCCCTCCTAATCACAGACTTGATTACACATGTTGGTATTGCCAATAAATCTGCTCCTCTGGATTATTTCGGATTCGCCATCCCGTGTATATGGGTTTACATTGCTGGCAACGTATTGACACAGTAAACGTATAATTTATTAACGTAACAACAGTTATCAGGAGGACTATTTAATGAAGTTATGTAGTAAGCTATAACTTTGTTTTAAATTTTTTCAGGGCCGTTTGCATAAACTCGGTCTATGTGTTGACAACTGAATGCACTTCGCTTACTGTGACACTTGTCGTAACCCTTCGAAAATTTATCAGTTTAGTCATCTCAATCTTTTACTTTGGAAACCCCTTCACTGTTGCCCATTGGCTTGGAACCATTCTCGTATTTGCTGGAACGATATTGTATTCTGACATTCCGGGATTGATTCAACAATCAAAGAAATCAGCAAAGAAAGTGGACTAGTTGCTAAAAAAATCTAGTTCTTTCTTGATGTTTATACTTGTTATCGTTAAGTATTAGTTTGACATGGAATTTGAAGCATTACATAGTCATTCACTAGCAATATAAAATTGATAAGATATCTCTCGATAAACGTGTTGCTATAATAATTGAAGAATATTATAGTTCCGTCATTCTACCGCACCCAATATTCCGAATATTACATTTTAGCTCAATTCAGTGATATTACATCTACTCATTCCTTTCAGTTTCAATCACTAATGAATTAATGAATACCAAAGATGCAAATTTCAATATTTTTTAACGAGTGAAATAACTACATATTATGCTGGATATCACTTTATCAAAACAATAGTTTACGAAATCTTTCTGAAATTTATATAGAGGGTATTCACAGTTGTCTTCGTATCCTATGAATCGTTGTTAAATAGCTTACGAAGAAAAAAAGAACCTTCGTAAAAATTGAAAGCTTATTAATGCGATTTTTAATGACAGAATCTTACGACGTTTACAAAATCTCATAACCGTCGTAACTTATTTTACGATAGGAAGGATACTACGTAAGGATACGAAATAACCATGAATGCTCTCAGAATTTTATTCACAATGACATCTCAAATTAAATTAATAATTGCTGGAATATATACGTCTCCTTAATTCACATTTTATTTTGTACCTCTATTACTGTGATACTTCAAAAATTTGAGAAAATTCTGTAAAACACAATTCAACTTATGCCGTGCCAAATTGTTTCCAAATATCATTTATATACCAAAATTTTCATCGACTGCTATTTTATGTTTTATGATATCAAAATCAAGATGGTATAACTTTGTTAAATTGTTACATGCATAGAATTTTAAGCAGGGTTGACCCTACAATTCGTAAATAAACTGTGTATAACCTGTTATAAATGTTTGCAAGTTAAAGTTGTGAAAAGTATATCGTTTGCTTTTAATTAAACTTTAATAGTTTTTCATGAAATTGAGGGAAGACTAAAAGCTGCGGGCGAATTACAGGTTGTAATGTTGAGGAGCAGGTGAATCATTTCATGTTGTGTTGGCTAGTGGAATCAAATATGCAACAGAAGGTGGAACGGTCGGTGAGGTGAGGACTAGAAAAAAGTGCCGATTATTAGTGCAGAATTAATTTTAATTAATTCCAAGCCCATTAGCAAATTAGACTCGACGACATCACCGCAATTCTACATCTACTACTGATTTTTTCAGTATATAAATAATGTCTATATAGACTTGATTGATTTCACTTCAGTGGCTTTAGTTTGAGGTGTTTTCTTGTTAATTCAGTGTCAATTGTCTGGAAAAGTTTCGTGTCACCTCGTTAACTGTCAACTATTTAGTTTGTTAATCTATTATTTATCTACATTCCAATCGAGACAAAATGTCGTCTTCCGCAATCTTTATTTTGGACGTAAAGGGCAAGGTAAGTAGTCTGACAATTAAGTAAAACTGAACTACTTAATTCGTAGTTTACTTAGTTAATTAATTTGTCTGCACTTAGGTCCTGATCTCGCGAAACTACAGGGGTGACATCGATATGGGTGTCATTGACAAGTTTATGCCGTTGCTGATGGACAAGGAAGAGGAAGGGAATTTGACACCAATTTTGCAAACGAATGAAGCAACGTTTGGCTATATCAAGCACAACAATTTATATATCGTTTCCATTAGTAAAATGAATGCCAATATTGCTCTTGTTTTTGCTTTTTTACATAAATTGGTCCAGGTAAGAAAATTGGACTAATCTATGCATTTATACATCATTGTTTTAGATGTGATTGTGAATGACGTGATGATGGACTGAATTCAATATACTCACTTTCTAGGTTATGATCGAGTATTTTAAAGAACTGGAAGAAGAAAGTATTCGGGACAATTTCGTCATTATTTATGAACTGATGGACGAACTGTTGGATTTCGGTTACCCTCAGACTACTGATAGTAAAATCCTTCAAGAGTACGTTTAGTTATTATTGAACAATAATTTGAAAGTTCTATATGTGATTTTTTTATTTACTCGTGACTTGTTTAGATTTATAACTCAAGAAGGCCATAAACTTGAGGTTGCTCCACGTCCCCCAATGGCAGTTACCAATGCAGTTTCTTGGAGATCGGAAGGCATCAAATATAGAAAAAATGAAGTATTTCTTGATGTAATCGAGTCTGTGAATTTGCTTGTGAGTAACGATTAAAATACATTTATCAGTATTTTAACAAGTGAACCTGATGAATGAAAGCCGGTATGCTATGCCTACATTTCAGGCTAATGCAAATGGCCACATATTGCGAAGTGAAATTGTTGGTGCTATCAAAATGCGAGTTTATTTGTCCGGGATGCCGGAATTACGCCTTGGACTTAACGACAAGGTTTTATTCGAAAGCACAGGGCGAGGAAAGTCAAAATCTGTGGAATTGGAGGATGTAAAATTTCACCAATGTGTTCGTTTATCAAGGCAAGATATTAGGATTTCCATTGTAGAATTTGGAATTCAGCATGAATCATGTCATATTTTGGGTCATTTTTAAGAAGGATAATGCCTTTTTTCTAGGTTTGAAGTGGATCGTACAATTTCTTTTATTCCCCCCGATGGAGAATTTGAACTAATGTCGTATCGACTCAACACACATGTAAGTTTGCTCATATTTAATAATATTGTCCTTTGTCTTGGCAGTTGGCACTATGCAATAAATGACCAAATTTTTATTCCAGGTGAAACCGCTCATTTGGATCGAGTCAGTTATTGAACGACATGCCCACAGTCGTGTAGAATACATGGTTAAAGCAAAGTCGCAATTCAAACGAAGATCCACGGCAAACAATGTCGAAATTATCATTCCAGTGCCGGGTGATGCCGACTCACCCAAGTTTAAGACGGGAATAGGCTCTGTGAAATATGCTCCAGAACAAAGTGCCATCATCTGGACAATCAAATCATTTCCTGGGGGCAAAGAGTACTTGATGAGAGCACACTTTGGTCTTCCGTCTGTGGTAGGAGAGGATAACGAGGGCAAGCCTCCTATCCAAGTTAGATTTGAAATCCCATATTTCACCACTTCTGGAATTCAGGTACATTCGCAATGTTACTGCATATTTTATGAAAAAAGGTTTGTTAAATGACTAGAATTTGCTCAATAACAGGTCAGGTATCTGAAAATTATTGAAAAGAGTGGCTATCAAGCTTTACCATGGGTTCGCTACATCACTCAAAACGGTGATTATCAGCTTCGGACGAATTGACTTGTCGAAATAATTGCAACAACAACCTGTAACAATTGAATGAACCAAGTGTTAACTTATAAGTTTTAAAATGTATAATGAACTAAATTATTAATGTTTTATCTTCTTATGCATCACAATATCTGTTTACCTATAAAGAAATCACAAGTTATAGATATTATTTATACAAATGAATCATAGAATGGAGTGTATAAAGTCAATAAACGTGTATTTTGAGACGTTTCATGAAACAATATGGAAGAAACTGACCATTAATGTCATCAAAGTTCTATAAAATACTGTTACAACTGAATGCCATGCAAGAATCCGTTAATGCAGTAATAGATTAACTTTCAATCACTTTATTACATCCCATACCAAGGTCTTGTAGTTTTTTGATTTACACTCAGGAACATCGGTCCTAAAGTAAATTAACTCACAACTAACTATCGGCTAACCTAACAAAAAACTACAGTTGTATCATAATCATAAAATGACTCGTCTCGCTGTACAGTTATGAGGTGGCAATTACATTCGAACTGACTTTTGCCCTGTTCTCTCGCTGTTTGGACATCTGTAATTAATTTTACGCAGCTGAGGGTTTCTGGAATTCCAAATAATATTATTTGTAGTGCATATCAATACCAACTTGAATTTTAAATATCTAGTATTCAACACATATTTGTATATACCTGGGTTGAACTCTCCACACAGAGTGCGAATTCTCTGACCACGTCAGAACACTTTAAGGCTTGATTATTATTTTGCCGATAACATTCAGCGACTTTAATAGTGTGATCCTGACACACAGGTTGTTTGGGATTGGGTACTAATTTATCCAACTTATCCAATTCTTTGTTAAACTCCCCTTCCGCTGCAAATGCGGCAGCAATGTACTGAAATTCAAAATAATGATTCAATTGCCATCAAAACTTTGTCAAATTTGTCATTCTTTTAATTTAGACTTACCCTAGATTCCAAATCTTTTAATTTTGAAGTCCAAAACTCGTCATTCTTCCGAAGTTCAAAGTCCTTTTGCTGTCTCACTTCGTATGCACTAACAGTCTCAACGACAGGAAAGCCCTTCGATCCCACGTTTAAAATTCCATGTTGAGGTATTTGTGACGACGACTGTTGTACTTGTGCTTGAGGTGGTCTTTGATGCTCAGCTTCTGCCCTTCCTGGAAATATTAGTATTAATTTGTAAGTATTTATTTACATATTCAACGCATTAAACAGTTTTTATTAATTAAAGATAAGAAGCTGGTACATACCTTGTGGTTCACTGGCAGGATTTTGTCCATATCTTGTCGTCATACGTTTTGCGACATCTTCTGTTATCTGAACCACCAAATAGATGCAAATCAAACTTTATTTATACATTGCTCGAATTTTGCTATTTGTATTTCGAACAAAAAGGACATAAACATTCGAACATAAACTTACTTGAATGATCTTTCCTGGTGGTTCAGGATTTCTAACGGAAAGTCCTCGACTGGAGGTGGCACCCATCACGATTTTAAATTAATCAACAAGGTTCTTTTTATCTGAGTATTTGCTGAATTTTTCAAAACTACGACACCTACAATTTCACATAATCAATTGTTTGTTAATAATCTGATAACAATAATTAAAAAAGTGACCAGTGCATAAAGTAGTGCATAATACAAGTCAAGGTTGTCTTCTTCTTACCGTAATAATAAATCCAAGAAGTGTTAAAAGTTGCAAAAAACTTAACAGCAATTAAACCAAACTCCTCAGCTCAGGGTTGAGTTCAGTATTTCAGTTGAAGCCGGCCGCTGTGGCACAACGTGTCTTCTTCCAAAGTCGATAATATTGCAAACTCTGAGCTTTCCCCGAAATGTAGACACGCCTGATTGAAACTCTCACTCCCTCGTTGCTTTATCAGGTTTTCTCCAAAAATCCCACCTTATCAATGAGCCTTAACTTAAGGCCCTTAAGCCCCCAGAAGCCAGGTGGGCCAAATATAGTTCGTTACCGTTCAAATTAAAATACATTTTGACGGGAAAAATTTTAATAATTTTTGTTTTTGATTTTGCCCGTCAAAATTTATAGCAATTCGAACTTTATTTTATGGTAACAGTCCTCAGCACACATTATGCAAACAAAACAACATTCAATTCTCAGGTTTCAATTTTTGGGCCCGGTATGGGTCCAAATTCACGGCTTCGTACTGATTCCCTAGCAGTCATGTTACGAAATCTACAATAGGCATACACATTGGTTTGTCAAGCCACTTTAAGATGAAATAGAATTGCATGCTACATTTGAAACAACAATGAATTTTACGCAAATAGTTTATTGTATCTAAGGTATAGACATGGATATTAAAAAAACAAAGTTAACAAGATTCCAATTGCACTTAAGTTCAATCTAAGCTATCTTCAATCGGTATTTTGCGTAAATTTTCCATAACTTGTGTGAGCCAACTCAGTAACGTCTCGCAATCGTTGTTAACTTTATCACACATTTTCTTCGTATGCCTGTCCAATTCAAGACAGCTTTCATCCGCGATCTTACGCATACTCAATTCGAAGTCCAGCACCACTTTTTCTAAAGATGTTACGGAAACGGGTTCACTGTCCAACTTCATCTTCGGCATCAAGTGTTCTGAAATTACATCATTAAAATTTATTGGTCAAACCTAACCTAAACATAGACTATTAAAAAATGTCAAAAACTAAAATACCAATATCCTCCACATTCTTCTTTTGCTCACCGCTTGTTACACCTTGCGCCTTAGACATCGTAATCCTACAATCAACCTACGAATACAAAATAATAACAATAAGTAACGTCTTTATCAAAAAACTTTTCCACTCAACCGAGACAAGCAGAGTCGCCCTCTACCTACTCTTAACTACACGGATCGCCGTACTTTCAATAAAGAACAAAATAAAATAAATAAAAAGGTCAAAATCACGCGAGACCTGATTTCTTACCTTCAACGAAACTCTTTGATAACCGTGACTTCCTTTCTGTCCCGTCTGAACTCTCGGAGCAAAAAAAACTCGTCGGAAATTAATTTTATTTTTGTGACTGCTGGAGAGAGGGACGTTCAGAGAACTTCAGAGAACCGAGTGAGAAACCTGACTGCGCTTCAGCCTCTACTTTACCGGCACTTTTATAGAAGAGAGCCAGCCAGCCCAACCAGCAGAAGTCGGCTATAGCATTGACACGCAGCCCACGCATACGAGCCTCGTTTTTGCATGGAAATGCATTTCACAATTTTGTCAACTTTAGTACAAGGTGTTTTGCACACCTTAAAATTATTATTTTTTATACATTTAATTTTGGAGAGAATTAGATGTGTTATAGCTCAAAACGATGACGATTCTCGAAATACTAGCATTGAAATACTGAATACTATCTGTAAATACTGAAATACTAAATACTGAATTTTCGTCTGAACTAGCATGTATAGAAGAATGGAATGCTTGTTGGGGTAATTGAATACATGAGCCTACAAAACTTTCAGTCGCAAAGTATTTTTGTGTAGTTTCTTTAATTACTACAAACTCCGCAGATTTTACAAAGAAACGCAGAAGGAATGTTCTCAAACAATTTACCATTGACCTACATTGAATGTTTACGAACCTAACGTGACCTAATATTTAGTAGCGTTATTTCAATGATTCTTCAAAATCATTTTTTACTTGACGTTGCAAATCGGATTAAACATGCTTACAGTCATTTCAGACATGCATGGAAAATGATGATAAAATGGAAACATGGATATGTCGTAAAAATTGTTGGGCGACACAATCAATGCATAAATCAATAATACAAGTTTATTTATCTTCAAATAATGTTACAACCGAATGTGCCCAAGGAATAAACAAATCACTCCAGAATCATATACATAACACTCCAGGGATGGCCAAAATACACTAAAGATTCTAAGTTCCTGTCAGTTAATAATATGTACTGATTTTCTAAAAATTAAAATGGACAGATGATTGATTCATTTTTAACATATTTACCATTGAGGTTTAAAATTGGTTGTGGCGATAATCAGTAAAAGCACCATTATCTTTGAATATGTTTATGGCAAATAATAAGTAAACTACCCCCAACTCAAAATCTAATGGCATTTAAAAATACTATGCTTAAAATTTGATAAAACTAAAAGATACAAAATCTTGCATTTTGTGGATACCTATTTTGGCCATCCCTGAATAATACTCATACGTTTGAAACTTTACATGGCGTTGGATGACTTGATGATATATACTTTTGTAATTACTTCGAGAGAAAGTTTTCCAAGAAGACAACTCTCTGCCGCCTACACACAAAGATGATACTCAGCTTTGTGGGGAAAGTCAATGTGAATAATTGTTTCAGATTTTATTAATCGACCTTTGTAGCCTTTTGAGTGAATTAGGTCACAACTTAGCTTCACCCATGACTTTTTATTTTTGAAGTGCAATTACTTTTGACTTATTGTTGCGTTTACAACTGTGGAGCAAGATATGTGTGCTCTTTGAAAAGTTTTTGTTTATGTGTTAAAAAGTTAATACAAAGCTACATACATAACGAACACGCTATTTTAGTAATTCATAATAATAACTGCTAACTTCAGTCGGATGTATTTGATCAACTCGGGACTAACATTCTCAGAACAATTTATTAATTGATTGACATTTCGTCTTCTTGATAAAACTTTTAAAGTTTAACATGTCTCATCAACTATATAATACTTATTGTTCGTTATGCTTGTGTTTGGTTAGTCTCCTCACGTAATCTTATCTATGTAGGAGTAAAAACTTTGAAAAATAATTGTAAACTAATACGCACTACAACTCTTATCCTTTGACTTTAAGGAAAGTTTCAATAAAAACTTCAATAGAAAATGAAAATGGAATGGGTGAAAATCTAAGTTGAATTAGTTTACAAGTAATCAGACATAAACATTTAACAATGGAGTTAAGAAATTCTGGAATTTTTAAGAGATTTTTTATGCCCCCCTACAAACTTGTGTCACCTTCGTTAGACACGAATTCTGATACTCTTGCGAGGCCTATGTCCCGCAGAGTAGATATACAAAAAAAAATGAATTTTATTGCATGAAAACTAATCAAATAGTAACCATTGTTTCTTCGAAAATTGTTAACCTGGTGGTTCTCGCTTTATAACAAAGACATCTATGCAATAAAGTATTTAGTCACAGATGAACGTACATATACAATAAAAATAACTTAAGAAATTACAAGTTGTCGTAAAGTAACAGAATAATATCAATACTCAGTAAACCAAGCAACCAAACAAAACTCTTATAGTTAGCAAATTATTTAGCTATAAGATTAGCTTCTCCAAGCATAATGAAAGCATGCCAATCTTTTCAGAAGAGACGTTCACCCGACGAAAAATCACCCGGAAGAGGACTTTTGCTTCAATGAGCTTTTCGCAGAGGAGAATTTATCAGAGAAAATGAAGTTAGCAGTCTCATTTTTTCATGCTATTGTTTCCCAATGATCCTCGTGTCGTAGTTTAATTGAGAACTTGTTGATTTCCAAGCTGCTTGCCAGAATGCCAGGCAACCATTGTCACTACGATTTCAGTTCAGACCCAACCGAGGATGAGAAAAACTATCAAATTCAGAGGACTACAATTTAAGACGCCGTCATGATCACTTTGCTTGAGAGAAGAGCTAAAGTTGACAATTTTGCGGAAATATGGGATTTCTTCCTTACGCTCATCCATCCATGTGAAAGAAAGCAAATAAGAGTTTATTTTTGCACTCCTACAAAATAAAAATGGTCCCAAATACACTGGGTGTTACAGTCATATAGTTTTTAGGGCATCAGTCAATCTCTGGATATTTCTTTTGTCTCCTTAATTGGTACGGGGTGAAAGAGAGAACAAAGTTTTCGTTCAAGGCATATGCTGTAACGCAGCTTGAGTACAAGAACATATGCGACCTCGATAAAGAAATCTATTCGTGTTGGATTTAAGATGAGATTATAATTGATAACATATATTGCGTCAGCAGAAAGGCTATAGGGTTGCACAGTCGATATTAGCATCTTCGATCCATAGTCTCGAATTTTGTGGTCGTGTCTACTGTTACATGTAAAGTGACGAAGCAATCTTAAATGCACCACAAGATTATTTAAGTTTTACTCAAATATAACATGACTCAAGGTCAAATTCCGAACATCCGCAAAATTTTTATATCAGAATAAAATCCATTAAAAAATATAATTAAAAAATCTTATCATGAAACCGTGTAAACTTTATTTCCAGGAAAGTCATTTACATTTAACTACATTATCGAACAGGAAATGTGTACATCGTGAAACCTGAATAATGAATTTAGAGCAAAAACGGTTCAAATTTCAAATTCTAACCGAGATCAACTTCACACTTGTTTCCCCATGATTTTCCATCCTTGAGATGCAGCGATGCACTGCAAAGTTGAGAAATAAAACCCCGAACTTTCACCAGCAGAGTCTCATTTTTCTCACCACTGCAGCCACGAGCAGACTTGGACGGAGAGCAAACTTGTCTCAACTCGCATTCTGGAGCTTCATCTCGTTTCAATTTATCACCATGCACCCATCCATCCATCTTGAGATTAGTAGTAGAAAATACTAGTCAAAGTCACTTATCAAGCCAATTATATGCTTGCTGAGAAGCAGAATATTCAGGTCAACTCAGAATAAGATTAATCCTCCAACACACGAAAAGGGAGTGAACGTGATTGATACTTATTTGACTTTTCGGAAGAGTTCAGAATTTCAATTAACATTGTTTGAGACAAATCTAGTTATGATACTTTGTTTTCTCGCATCAAACTAATCGATCCAAAATACAAATTTATGAATTAGAAATGAGTTCACTTCGATATACGTAGTTTTCCGTACGTAAAAATATATTGACTATACTTTGAGGATTTTTTCACAAGTAGCGTGGCCTACATTTCGTATCCAAATAATACAATAATTGGGAACGCTCAGTTAAGGTAAGCAAATTAGATTCTTTCACTGTTAATCGTCTACAAATAAAAATATTTAGTATGCCAACTCGTTATGTTGGATTCAATAAAAGCAATTCCTAGTCCTCTTCAGAATCAGATGGGTTGAAGTGCGGTTGGTAAAAATGTTTGGTCCAAGTTGACGCTTCCGTCCGATGCACATAGTCATTGACATAAATCTTTATTTTATATTTTGTTCTGCACATCGTTGGATATTGGAATAAGTCAAATTTACTTTAGACATTTCCCTTCCTTAGTGAAAGAGAAGTGTGAAAATTCAAGCAGAGTACTTAAGGAACAAATGACTTGGAAGAAACAGCTCGAACTAAACTTTGATATTGTTTCCGAAAATTTGTTTTTCGAGCACACTTTTCATAATCAATTATACGCACTTCACCGAGTATAAAACGGACAAAAACATGTTGCCTACTTTCTATGGGATTATTAATGATTTTCATACCATTACACATGACAACTAAGTATTATGAACTTTATCAGAAGGATAGGGACAACATTTCGTTCAAGATTTCAGTAAATATTATTGTATTAATTAACTTAGTCTCGTCGACTCGTCAACCCAAGTTCGCAACATGTTTGGAAGCATTGAATTAATCAAATTAACAACGTTTGGATACAAAAGGTGTATGCACAGCACATTGAGGAAGGTTGCGTATTGTTGACAGAGGTCGTTTGAATACAGGTTAAAAAGTGAAAGCATTTCATTTCCGTGAAGGATGGGATGGACAAACAAACTAGAAAATTGTGGATGCTTGATCCATAGGCTACGCATTTCAACTGTCAGTCCTCAGACTAGGTTACAGGGCATGTACGTGAACAGGATTTATTAAGAAAATGAAAAATAAGACGATGTTGTGTAGCAGAGCACGCTCCTTTTTCTCCTTCTGAACGAGGAGAAAGTAGATATCACATTCCAGGCTTTGCCTACACTTTCACCCTCAAATATATGTATCCAACCCACAACAGAAGTTTATTTACCAACCACTTGTTTCGTGCCCACACATGCATAGTTGTTTACTCATAAATTAAAGTATAGGGACCCACGCTGCCGGCCAAAGATTGAAGGGTTGATCATCAACACGTTATAACAAAGTTTGATGATTTGCACTTTGTGAATTCGCATGAAAGCGTTAGTTAATCTGTTAAAGCTTTCCAGAATCTTCTTCATGTTCGATCTGCCTTTTGAGTTGAACTATTTGTCAACAAATTATTTACGACGCTTTCAAAAATCACATCATTGTTTATGAAATTTCAAGTGGAAATTTAGGTGGAAAATACATATTACGAACACTTCGCCTTCACGTCAAAACATATTTAGCAATAGTCCTTGCAAATATTTTTCCCAAATAATTTGCAACAAAATACAATAATTTACTCAGATTTCCACTTTTTAAAAGTCAATTCGACATAGCTGAAATAATTGTTGTTTTACAAGCACTTCTATTACTTAGCATGTAGACGTAATTGATCATGTCAGATTTTTCCAACCTACAGGTTAAAATTGATTTTTATTATATCATGTGCACATATTCCCGAAATATTTCGAAATTTAAGACGCACGTAGTAAATCAGCAAAGGTCACATGAAATGGGAGTGTTGTATTACTGAATGAGAAGCCATAATACTACGCACTGTTTCTTGTTTTACTACATAAATGGAGACAGAAATGGACGGAATCCCTCCAAGCTTGTTGCTGGAACCCTACCCACCCGACTCGTATGAAGAAGAGGACCGAAATAGGGATCTTGTCTCTCACGACTTTGTAGCCGCAGGAAGTTCACATGGATTTCTTCAGTATATGAGCAAAGTCATTCTCAACTTTAGTGACGCCGAGAGCAACTTGAACTCTATTGACGCCTCTGGGACCCTTCTAAGTTTCACTAACTTGACCGATGACGACACTAAAATAAGATATCCGGACTTTAGTCAGGTAAAAGTATTCAATTTTTAATCCATTACGCACTCATGCAATTGCACTTGTTTCATACGTTGCCCAATCCAATTCAAAGCTTGAATGTCAAAATTATTAATTTAATCTCCTAAAAGCTTCTTCGGCCATCCAATCAGCACATCCTTGGCAATACCTTACCCTACCAATGTGTGGTTGGGAAAGGTATACAGACAGACTAGATTTAGAATGTCGCATCCTCAGTTTAATTAACCAAACTACTCGTAGATGTCCAGGTGCATATATAGATAGATACTGATACATACTACATTCTGGTAGCTGTGGAACAAATTAATCACTTTTCTAAGATAATCCTTAATACCGAAAACTTATGTCTTATTATCACATAAGTAGCAGATCATACGTATGAATTAGCATTTTTACGATTCATTGCCTTCCATTCTGTAGTGAGGACTCACATTAAGCAGGCAGAAAATCATCGCATGAGAGTTTGAAAATGTGCTACGAAAAGATTGCTCGACTCCAATATGTTTGCTTGGATGCTAATTATGCAGATAAAGTGAGAATACGGGTAAATGACTAAGCATACCCAAAGAAATTAAGATTTTGCACATAAACTTTGTTGCAAAAGTTTCTACTTGCGCGACGAATCTATTTATACACTTTCACTGTGATGCAGCCAACATGTAATCTGCCTAAGCGTGGGCGTCACGCAAAAATGGTATACATTTTGATCTAAGAAGTAGTCACATTATTGTTATCAATTTGCAAAGTCATTGGTCACCTATGTCAGATTGAAAATATGCTGCTTACAGAATCTCTCGTTCTTTTCCAACTTTCACTTTTATCAATATCCCCATTTTTCATCATCCGCAGGATCAAAGATCAAGGGTTTTTCGTAGGAACAAATACACAAAACTAGTCTCATAATAGACATGTACTTGTTGGCACGTAGTTAAGTAAAGTGTTAAAGTTAACACGTTATCATTTTGCTACACAGAGGTCACACTTGTCAGAAAGTCAGTGCGATCAAAATTGGCATGAGGGGATTATTTATTTTTGCTTGCCACCTACAGGTCGAGATCGTCAGGGTGATCTTCATTTGTCTATTTGTTCTGGAGAGCGTGATTGGCGTGATGGGGAATTTCTTTGTCTGCTTAACGGTGTACAGGAACAAGTCGATGCACTCTCCCGTCAACTATTACATTGTCAACCTCGGAATTTGCGACTTTCTCGTTGGAGCCGTTGTTCTCCCCGTCAAAGTAAGTAGAGTATATTTAATATTTTTGTTTTTAGAATGTTTGTGTACATTGAAATAGCATCAAGATTGTATTCCTAAAAAAACTTTGAGCATTTTTTTAGCAATTTGCTGAGCGATTTGTTTCTAGCTTTATCTTCCAGTTTGAGTTTTAAAAAGTAAATGGGTGTTGTGAGCATGAAAAAAAACATTCCTTAATTCCTCACAGGCCTAAAAAACTACAAAATTTTATTTGTCGAGAATTTCAATAACAAGATTACAATTTGTGTAAAACGGATTGGTTGAAAAGTATCAACTTCTCGCAGTACTTTGAGAAAATCCCATAACAAATAAATCTCTTGCCCTTCAGAATTCACTTATACATGTTCAATGCTCAACATATTCACAATTTAGAGAATAAGAAGCTGTTAAGACTAGGAAGCAAAACATAAAACTCAAGTTACATTAATAATAAATTTCGGATTTCGAGTGCAAAACGAAGTAAAGTCAAATCTCAAGTAGGACAAGGATAATCTGCAAAGTAAACAACCGGATAAGATCAAAAACCCATTGCTATCAAAATTTGTTTTGTCGGCCACGCGCAAGAATTAAGGGAACTACACAATTCCCATGTATGCATCATCATTATAGAATAATTCTCACTTGGCTAAATTTGCAAATTATTTACTCTTTAAGCCGTTTCACACATGACTGACTACGCAGTAAATAAATCAATTCGTTTGGAATTGTGATAATAGTAATGAACAGTTTGGATAGAAGATAAGTCCTTATAAAAAAACCCGCCAGATATAAATAAAAAGATTAGACCTGTTGACCTTATAATCCTTTCTGCAATTTAATTCCACCTTTAGCAAAAAAATAAATATAGATATTTTTGCATGTTAAAGGTTTCAACTAAGTTTGCTTTCCGAGTTGCATACGGATTATCGTCAGTCATGCCTAGTTTCGAGGTTGAGGAAATTTACATATTGATTTTATTATTATGACATGTTTTGCGTCTAGGAAAACACTTTCCAGCGTCTCACACTATTATTGTGAATCAGCTAAATTGTTTTCAATAAAATTTCCTAGATGAGGCCGAGAGAGAGATAATCGCTGGTGCAAATCCTTGGCATTACTGCACATGTAGTTACAATTTATAAATTATAACGCATGGATAAACTGTGTGATCATGCCACAGAAACTTAATTCCGTCTCATCATCCACCATTATTGTCTCAATACCTAATTAATTGTTACAATAAGTTATTGTCATGGGTGTTTGGAAAATTTCCTAAAGCTGAAGGATAAAGACGGTCTGAATAATAATTATCATGGCCGTGTCGGTAATGGTCCATGCCGTTAAACACCACTGATTCTCCAAGTTCTAAGCTTAATGACCGGAGATAATGGATCCAAATTGTCGTAGAACAGATGTGATTGCACTTTCATTAAGAGCTCTTCATCTGAGAATTATACATTGAGAGGAGTTTCACATCTCACTCTGTCCGTGTTGCTATTGTCCTTAAAATAATTATTGCAAATAATATTTATATTTATAGGGACAGCGTGTAGAAAGGTCTATTTAGTACGAATTATAACACTGATTTAAGTTTTGATTTTCTTCTTAAGACTAATTTTTCACATAATAAATATGTAAATAACCAGTTCCAGTGATCCTCATTAATTCTGCTTAATAAGCTTTATGAATTTACCTTAATTCTACTTAATGAAGGAATGTAAACGATGACAGGGAAGATTTATTGGGATATAAATAATAAGGGACGTCCAGACTAACGAGATATGTATGATGTTACAAAGAAATGAAAAACTCGTACTTAAATAAGTTAGGCTGTAATGTGAGTTCATCTTACTTAGAATCTTATTATACATGGAAAAACATATACATACGTCAGATAACTTTACTCACGATAAGTTTAGCACTATTTTACTTGAGGTAAATAGACAGATAGCAAAGTTGAGGATTTTGTGTTAAAACTGCACAACCAACGATGGTAATATAGTAACAAACAAGTCGCAAAACTTTATACAAGAATACTTCATTTTATGCGAAAGTATATCATCAGAGCTTAAAATTAGCCAATTAGGATTAGCACTTTTAACTTAAAAAAGTTTTCAATGGAGGCTAAAACTTTTTGCACGAATTCACAATTTGGAATTAATTAAGCAGAACTCTATTATGTTAAACGCAATTTGGGCGATGATTAATAAACACGTAGTTAAAGGGAAATACGGTATGTTGTGAGCTGATTAGTGCAATGGCAGTAGACCTGCAGACTGACAAATTGTAACTTTTCTGAACGGGATGATCGATTTTTATGAGATTCGACAAAAGGAACACGTTCATATGATTTTAGGTCAGATTCTAGTTTTAAGTAAAATCCAGTAAATTTAAATCTCTTGTGAGTTGGTTCCTATTGAGTTTTGGAAAAATTTCTCTAAAAATCCACTTTTTATTGAATGGGTGAAATTTTAAAAAAAATGAAGATTATGAAAACAAAAATTCATTGATCTTTGCAGTTATTTGAACTGACGGCTGACGCTGATATAAACATGATGACGGATTTTTGGTGCACAGCCGTTCGGTTTTTGGAGACCATCGTCGTATTCGCCAGCGTTTTCACTTTGGTTGCAATCTGTTTCGAAAGGTAAGCAGAGAGATTTCCATCGTAATCTACAGTTTATTGCATTACGTAATGAAACGCATGCCGTCAAACTATTCAGCCTAATGCAATATTGAGACATGCAATCTTGCCACAATTCATCTCTAAACCCTAGTCATCATATTGCAAATACATGCAACATTTCAAAAATAAACTTTTTGAAACCATGCTAAAATTATTCATTTTGAGCTGAAATTGGTCAAATTTCGTCAGAATGCACGTTGGCGTTAAGTACGGTAAGTGCGTCAAGTATGTGTCAAAAACCTACACGAACTTTGAAGTATGAGGACAACATTACAATTTAATTATTTTCACACTTGACTACGTCGTACTACAGCCACCCACGTATAATGTATGTCACGCTCTTTGATTCAATTTCAATCATCGTTGATGTTTCACTCTGTAAACAAAGACACATAAATAGTCCCTGTTTGTCCAGTTCAGTTCTGGGAATTAAAGCGTTGTCAGCAGGGCTGAAAAATAAGTATGCTTTTAAATCTAGCCAATAGCCAATACACGACAAAAACAATGTTTATTTATTTATTAACAAAATATCAAGTTGAATATAAATGTTTTCAACTCATCGCATTAGGTTTGTCTGAAATCTGAAAAGTTTTAGGTTATCTTAAGCTGGAGAAAGAAAGCTTCACATGAAATCGTATTCCGTCCCTCTGCACAAGATTAACTCACATGATAAGACTCTTTGCGAAAGAAAAATATGGAATGAAAACTTTTTTGCTACGCGTGTTGTGTAGTTGTGGGAAAGGGTATGTATGTACATATGTACATATCTGTGTGCACCCAACTATTTTCCCCACCCAGTTCGCGTTCCAGTGAAAGTTTGTAAGAACATCCTGAATATTACTAAAATCCGTGAAAGTTTAATAGCATGTCAATTTGATTTAGCTGATATTCGTTAAAAAAATATTTATACTGAATTTTGTCCAATTAATTTTGATTCTTTTGTATTTGTGCTCCCGTCTTTCCCATACAACAATTTTTTCTTTGAAAAACTTTTTCTGATTTAAAAGCTTATTCAATTTCCTTAAATTTTCGGTAAAAAATTGTAAAATAGGTCAGGCGGTGTAGAAAAGTGTAACGCAGCATTGTACGGGCTATATCTCACTAGCATGTATATTGCACGGAGATTTTATACCTATTGCTTGGAAATTGACCATTTCCACGGGAAATGTTAGGAGAGCACATTTTACTAGAGGCAGACACACACCGTGACTTTGATGATGGTGTAACTGTAAAGTTCAGACACCTGTACAAATTGTCATGCCGAGTTGAGATTTGCTTGCAATTTCTCCCCAATTCTCCCAGAAGTGTGAGACAGAGAAGAAAGACATGGTTTCTTCACTCCGGAAATGAGTTCAATTTGCGATAATGATATCTCAGTCTAACTGAGGCCATCAGATTCTACCGTGTTCCATGAGACTATATCTCCACAGCGGAATAACTACTTACCTAGCAACTTCTGCATGGGAGAAGTAATTGAAAGCTAAAAACTCCGCCCAAACTGAGCTGAACACTCATTATCCGCCCAGATTGAACTTTACCAAACAAATTACAATTAGTTTAATAATGATGTAGCATTATTCGTAATTATAAACTGCAACAACTACCTAATGATACGAATGGAATCTGTAGATATTTATAAATATGGACATACGCGTGTTGACCTTTGTTTGGTTCAAAGTTGAAAATAATGTTCCCTCGCACACGTGTTGTATGCGCAATGCGGAAACAAATGGTTATAAAGTAGAGTCGAGTTGTTTGATTCCGAGAGATAGAAAGAAAACCAATCATACTTGGTGAACCAATCATCGATGTCATAAAAGTTGTTGAAGCAAAGGATTTTACTTTCTCCGGTAACATGCAAAATGTCAAATCTGTAATTAATCAAAATTTCACCCAAATTGGCTGAGGTTTTGTTTAGGAGTTGTGCTATCATATTCTCAAGCGAAAATATTCGGCAGATGTTGAGCGTATTTTTATGGATACACTATACAATACCCGTGTATGTTATACATATAAAGGAAAAAGCCTTAAAAATTATTGCTTAGGTGAAACAAAGGAAAGAGTGATTACAGGGAAAAAATGGTCCTCCGTCTGGATGACAGACATGCTGTGTCGTCAGCTTTGATGTTTCAATGTCCTCAGTTATCGTAAAGTACGATTCGCACTTGGATATTCTGGAGGTTTACTGTTATTATTATTATACGTCGCAATCAACATGTATGTTGAAGTTTGCAATTTTGTAAATATTTCTAGCAACTTAAATTTCCATGGTCCATGTCCATGTGAACCCTTAATCATCATATAAATGAAGCGTTCCGTGCCTGGTTTTTTCATAACCAGAGCCTCGCCTATGAATAATGACCACTTTACCACTTTAATAGAATGTCATCCGTTCCATATTCTCCAGATGTTTGAAAGACGAAAAATAGTTCTTAATTTCCAAATGTTGAGCAATATGCGTTCCTGTTTTCTCTACATAATGATTTACTCAGAGGTAATAACCAGCATAAAACACATTTGTGCATACATGTTTACCGTATGCACAGTTTTCCCAGCCTCTACACTCATTAACGCGCTCTTTAATTTTAACCAGTTAAATTATGCAACCCGTTCAGGAATTGATTATTAATATATTTCTACAGATACAACGCTGTTGTTTATCCAGTTCAATCCAGAATCAATATGACGAACCTCCGCATTCGTCGCGTCTTGACGGTGGTGTGGATCATTCCTGGCTTAGTTGCGGCTCCCAACCTCTACCCCGCAACGTCAGTGTCACAATCTCTCTACTCCCATTTTGGAGAATTCACCCGTGTCACCTGCTTTGACGGGTAAGAAGAATAACTCATTCTTTCCTCTCCAATTGTACTTTCACGACTGGCTTGAAATACGCCTGGGCCTATTGTTTCAGGATTAATGGTGGCTTCAGATGTTGTTACAGCCTCTTCGACAGTGTTCAAATATTGATTTTGAAATTCACTTACTAAATAACTTACAATTAAGGCTTTGTACACAGTCGAAAAACTTGTAGAAATTATCAATCTTCGCCTCAATATTTTCTAGTTGAAGTCTAATTGAACCGAACGGAATGGTTACATATTATTTGGGTTCGCATCCACTGGTGGAGAGTGAAAGCAAAACACTCAACTTTGTCATGACGTGCCACTTCTGAAAATAGTTGGTAGCATTGCGCTGTTATTAGATGGTTTGATTTCATTGTACTTCGTATGAGTAATGGTAACGAGGTGATGGTCCCGGGAACAATATTTTGCAGAAAGTAAGTTACCATAACCTCAAAGTACTATTTTCGGAAAGTGTTACATATTAGAATGAGACAATGGGACGCCGGGTACGAAAACCTCATTTTATTGGTCTGACTATGTACTAAAACGCGAATACAGGACCAGCTTTAGGCACACTTTAAATATTTGACTAAAACTAAAATAGGAAAATGGCGTAATCCAAAATTTAAATATTTGACTAAAACTAAAATAGGAAAATGGCGTAATCCAAAATGCGTCCTTGACTTGTTTACTGCAATCACTTGCAATTGACCCGATCAACAAAAATTATTACTTTTGCGTCAAAGTAACGCATCCATGGTGAAAATTTTTAACAAACAAAAAAAGGCGTGATTATTGCATAAATTTTGTGCTAAGTTTGGTGTGCACCGTGAGACACGCTAAATTTGCATTAAAAAACTGTAACCTATGGTTGAAAAATTATTGCACCCAAACGTGCTGAGATATTGCGTAAAAATACCGCACCAATATCTCGTCAATACCCACATTACATGAGGCGTTAAAATCATGCAATTTATACGCAATGAATGGTGGGTGCGAAGAGACAGGCAACGCGCGAGAGTTTGAATCTAAGAGAAGCGTGGTATTTCCTTTTCTCTCCCACCCTCGCAGTCTCGTAAATTCCCTGTTAATTTAATTCCCTGTTAATTTATCTGTTGTCTCAATGTCGCCAAAAAAATATTACATAATTGAATTCCCCCCTGATAAATACAATTCAGTGCCTGTGGAGCTTGTTCTAAGTCACTGGGTTATCCCCGCAGAGAAAGTTTGTCTCTGGCCACCAAACTCTGGGCCAAGTATTAGAAATTTGATAAAAAAGGGCACTGCTATTCCTGATGTCAAGTGGGGAAGAGTTAGCTACGCCAGGATTATTGGGAATTACGGTAAATAGCTATTTAATTCAAATTATGAGAAGTCATTCCAATTATTTTACATTTACTAACAAATATCATTATTTTAGATGATTATGAAGTTGCGACAAAAAAACTTCAAGTAGCCGAGGACACTTCCAACTTGGAAAGTGAAACAGAACCAGAAAGCAGATTAAGGAGCAAGAAGATAATTCCCGATATTCAGCCCAGCAGCACACGAGGGGATATAACGTCTTCATCCGATGAGGAGGATAGCGACGCGAACAAAAACAGTCCTCCGTCTGGCTCACTTCTGGATAATTTGGAGCTGGGTAGGCTTATAATACTGCCACAAATATTTTATACTAATCATTATGGTGATGCTTTTTAGACCAACCATTGAGCATTCCTGAAATAATTCCCGAAACTGAAGAGCAAAGCAATCTACAAGTAGGAAATCAAGGTGAAACTGGAGACACCTCTTTTGTTGTTGTAAATTCGCAGGAGTTAAATGATTTACGGCTGTTGATTTCAAGTTAGTACAAGCAAAATAATTTTATTAAAATTGATGTATTATGTTAACGCTTTGTAATCACGTTGCAGGGACAACGCAAAGTGTGCTAACTTTGTTGGAAAAGCAGGCTGAAGACATTAAAGACATTAAGGCTTTACTGATTAATGTGAAACAAAGGCCGGATGGTAGGAAGGCTCCCAATTTCAGTGCCATTCCAAAATTACCCCTCGACAACGAGGTAGCACTGGCGGAGTTTGAATCTTGGCTCGAGGTGGATTCAAATCGCGAATTACTGGTACGATTTAATCGAGATATTTTACATGCATAATTAAACTTTAATGTTTTTTCTTATATTTGATACTAGGTTGAATATTTGGCATTTTCAACTGCGACACAGATCGAGGCGAGCACTAGAAAAATCTTGAAAAAATTATTTACGAATGAATTTGGCAGGCGAATTAATTTTACGGGTAAAGGAAACAAGACATCGATGAAAAACCTAAAACTATTGGAAGTCGTAAAAGGTGCTAAAATATATTCTAAAATGAAGAAAATTTTCTAATTGTTGGTCTCTATTTAATGTTTAATTGGATTGCAAATTTCAGAAACCGTGCGAAACGTCTTTACAGTTGAGTCCGTTCCCGATCCCAAAAATCCCAGCGGCCGTATTCCCACCGATGATATAATTCAAACTGCAGCAATGAATTGGTTTCGTTCTTCAAAAAGTAGGTGCAACGACGACGCTCCCTCGGGAATTGCATCATAATCATGGATCGAGATGGAAAATCACCGAGAAACATTAGGCGAATAATTGCAAAACGGGTTAGAGAGAATCTCACTCGTGCAAAAAACATACCTGCTATTAGTAATAATCTTGTAAATTTAGATATATGTGATTCTGTCGTTGAGGATAGCGATTCAGGTAGTAATATTAGCAATAATGATAGAAGCAGTAATGTTATCCATAATAGTGACGAGCCATTAGTTTCCGATTCACTAAGCGACAATGGTATAGTAGAAAATAATAGGAATATTTTAGATTTAACACGGGACTTGAGGGACTGGTCGCTTCGACATAACATAACGGGACTAGCTTTAAACGATCTTCTACGCATATTTAACTTTTATCAAGAATTTAGATTTCTTCCATTGGATAGTAGGACATTGCTTAAAAACTCAATTAAATACTCTATGAAAACTATCGGTCAGGGTCAATATGCACACTTTGATGTTATTCAAAATATAAAACGGCAAATAGATTCCAATTGTATTCTTGCTTCTGGTAGCGAAATTAAATTAAACCTTATATTTAGTTTTGATGGATTGCCCATTTCTAAGAGTAACAGTAACCAGTTTTGGCCAATTCAAGCAAAGTGTGAAGAAAGTACGTACGGCGTATTTGTCGTGGGTTTATTTTATGGCAAGACAAAACCAGAAAGTATTGACGAATACTTGATGGATTTGATAGCAGAGTTAAAAAGTTTGCGAGTTGGGATTAGTTACAATAATTTGAAAATATTTTGTAAGGTTTCAAAAATAATAGCTGATGCGCCAGCCAGGAGTTTTTTAAAGCAATGTAAAAGTCATAATGCATACAATGGATACGAGAAATGTATAGATCCAGGTTTCTGGAAGGGACGTGTAATTTTCAGAACATTCGATAGTCCACTTAGGACAGATCAAGATTTTTATGTTCAAAAAGATAAACACCACCATGTAGGCATTTCCCCGTTTACGGAGCTTAAAATTTTGATGATTTCTTCGGTTCCTCTTGACTACATGCACCTCATTTGCTTAGGTGTGGTTAGAAAACTATTAAGAAGTTGGGTAAAAGGTCCATTGCCATTTAAATTATCTTCTCGTGATATTTCAACTTTATCAAGTAAATTAGTATTATTTTCGCATAGTTGCCCTAAAGAATTTTGTCGTAAGCCGAGGTCAGTAAAAGAGTTAGATATGTGGAAAGCGACAGAGTTTAGAACTTTTCTTCTTTACACAGGACCCGTCGCTTTAAAAGGATTATTGTCGCCGAAAAAGTATACACATTTTTTAAATCTTTGCGTAGCAGTCACGATTCTTATAACTACCAAGGCGCAAGCAAATAATTGGAACGATTATGCACGACAGCTTTTATTGAAGTTTGTTAAAAATGTTTCCAATTTATATGAAGAAGAGTTCTTATCATATAATATGCATTCTCTTATACATATTAGTGATGACGCTTTAAAGCATGGCCCGTTAGATTCTTTTAGTGCTTTCGATTTCGAAAATAATATGCAAGTAATAAAGCGCTCGCTACGAGCTCACTATATACCTTTTGAGCAAACTGTGAATCGCACTGCTGAGAGAGAAAATCATAAGTACCAGTCCCCTGTGAATTTAAATAGACACTGTATTATAAAATCGAACGGAAAGGATCATTGTTTTATATTAAAGGATGGGAAAGTAGTTGTTATAAGTAGTATAAGTAAAGATAAAAAACATATAAATTGTAGAAAATTCAAACACTCGGACAACTTGTTCACTTGTCCGTGTGAAAGTAAAATTTTAGGAATAATTAAAGTTAGCAAATTATCAAATAGCGTAACCATAATAGGTATTAATGATATTGATAAGAAATGTTGGTTACTCCCGTCGGATAAAATAGATGAAAACATTTGCATTCCCTTGTATAATGTAACAATATAATTTTTGTTATGAAATAAATGATTTTGATAAAAATTAATAATTCGTGTTATTTGACTGCAGTAATTGCATGGAGTTTAACTGCAAGTTTTGCATCAAATTATTCGTTTCTTTTGCGCAATATTCTATGCTATAAATTGCATTAATTTGACGGTTATTTCTACGCAATATTCTTGAGGCTAAATTGCATGAATATGACTGTCAATTCTATGCAATATTGACAGTTTATTTTACGTTAAATATCTAGTATCTTTTCACGGATTTTTGCCGGCCATCAGTTGCTGCAATTTAACTGTATGACTTTTGCGTAAAAGTGATAGCTTTTGTTGATCGGGGAGGGACAGAAAGTGCGTGTATAGTTGTTTCGCTACAAAATTGACAGCCGATGCTGCGATGTAAAAGTACGTCTCTTATTTTAGGAAATACTGGAACATTGTGCGGAACAACTGTCGAAAAGACACTTTTTTGGTATTTAAGTGGCTTGCGAAATGTTTTCTCTACACTGCTTCCTTCTTTTCACGACGTACGTGCTACAGACACCTAATGTCAAAGTCTCTTTTGCAGCAATAAATTGTCGTCTCCTCCTCCAGAGCTTGACAACTTGGTCATTAGTGTTCATGGTCAACCGCATTTCTAGTCATTGTAAATGAACACCTGTCCACTTCCTCCCATTCCTTCGGTTTTGTCTCGTCAATACTTAACCAGCCAGATTCTCTGCCTCCCTTTCCTCTCTAGCATGGGAATAAATTTGTCTATGCACTTATAGGTGTGAACAAGACGTCAATAAAGAGACTCGAATAGTTAAAGGTCGTGACGAAAAAGGCGCAAGTTTTGTGCCACGATGTCGTATTCTGAAGAATATGCATATCGTTTGTTTCCGAAATTGAAAAATCCGAAAACAACATGCATTGCTCGAACCTTCCTCGGAATTCAGTCAAACCTTACATCGAAATCTAATTTAAGGAATTCATACATGGATGCACACTCTGACTCACTTTTTTATTTCCATTATCACATTAAACCTGAAGATACAATGGTGGCATTAGGGTCACATTCACGGGATCCGAAAGTCTAACAAAGAACTCAAACTAAAGAATTCGCAATGAAGCAACCACGTTTCTGGTGAAAGCACTCGCTCATGTTTAACTTTCAATTTTTTAGGAGAAAGGTAACATGGAATGCAATTGAAATTGTCACCTCTGTGATGGGACACGTAGGCATATTATGTGCCTACACGCACGTGTACTCCACACCACATCACATACTAGTGAAGTTTATTGAATTGAACTTGAAATTTGCTTAAAAATCAACACTAACCACCAAAAAGGGCACCACAATACGCAATTTGTCTTTCAACTTCTCGCATCAAGGCTCAACCCGTTGCAAATTGAGCCCTATAGTTAATTAACTGGACTAGATGTGTGCTTTGTCAAGGTTAAAGAAAATAAATGTCTACGTGATCAATTATAAATTGGATAGCGATAGCGGTACACGTTTGTATAGTGAAATGGTGAACGATGGAAGATGAGAATATGACAGCACTGTTCTAGTAGTGGCAATTGAATAGCTTTTTTTGTTTTGGACAATGTTGCTCATGTGTTTACAGCACGTATCACTTGCTGGATCTTTGCTGGGTTGGTTACATTTTCATGTGAGAGATCGGCCTCAAAACCTCATGTCTTATGTAACTTGATAACCTTTTGCCAAGTCATTGAGGCATCGGTTAACGGTCGATTGGAAATAATAATATACACAGACTAACAAACATGGTCATTGAAGCTGATAAAAGGAGAAAATCATCGAGTTGATCTGCCCTCGTTGGATGCCAGACATGTCATTCATCCCTGGTAATCCATATCTTTTGGATATATCCTACGTGCAGCTTAAGGGACATCTTTTGCAAAGTATCAATGTGTCTGGTAGCTGTTGCCTACGTCATAAAGCGAACTTGATAGTTTTCTAAACGCAATATTTTTGCGAACTAGATCCGTGACACAATAAATATCTGTAAATCGTCATGACAAGGGAGTTTCTAAGATTATGTGGAATACGTGCGAAAAAACATGCATCCTTGCAATGTACCATGCTGTCGCTGACACTTGTACGGGATCCAAGTGTCAAACTGTTGAAGAAGTTTCTAAAATGACAAATGTATGACCATATGTATTTAATACCTGCATTCGCCATATGTCCAATTTTCTAATTATGCATCATGTTTTACTAAAAAATACTACATCTTTAACCTAAACAATAGAATCGGCTTGAGTTGGTTATCCAATATGCTGATTGATTACGCATTTCATTTTCCTTGAGCTCAAATTAAGACTTATTATTTCATAGTGTACATATGTGACGGGTGACAGGTTGATTTCATTCAAGGGGTTCCCTTGCGATGCAGTCATCCATGCAAGTTGAAAGGCTGTCGTTGGTGATTCAATCAATTAGAAATTGTTAGTCTTAAAGGATTCAGAGGACTTATTTTGACATTAGCGTATTTACTTATTCATAATTGAGAATATCTATAAATACCCATGAGAGCCAATCAGTAGTTGCATTTGCATACGTATGTACTTACATGAGAGCATTGGGATACGACTTAACCATGCCACTGATTCTAAGCAGCTACCTTCAAGACCATGGGCTACATCATTCACAAAAAGAATTCAGTCATCCAATAAAGTTTTATCTCTTTTGTTACAGATTTTCGGATGATTTTCGATTTGGCTATTTCATGTCCCTGTTCGTCTTCATGTACCTTCTTCCCCTGGGATTCATTGCAGTCACCTGCTTTTCCATTGCTCGAGTGTTGCTGAAGGAAATTCCAGTCCAACCAAGACGAGATCCCAGAGCTCACAACTTGGAACAAGGGCGGAGAAAGGTGAGTTCGCCTGGTACAATTCTTTTCAGGTGTCCTTCGCAGGATTAAAAGTCATCCAGTCATTAGCCGTTGGTAAACAATTATCTAAATTAAATTATAACCGTTACTGGGTCGGTAGTGGATAGTAGAAAAATATTGGCGGATTTGTATGGTCTACCTTCGCCCACACAGTGCAGATTACTGCAGACGTCCAACGTACCCAGCCAGATATTATTATGAAATACTGGCGTAGTGGGTGTTTTCAACATACATATAAGACTTGAACTTTTTCTGAGCATTCATGCCGATGTACTTCGTCTTGATCCAAATTAAATTACATATCAAACTAACTCTCAACGATCACGTGAGTGTTACTTGTAGTAACTTTATGTGATCAACAAGTTTTCTTCCTTCCCCTTTCACCCAATGTGAGAGGCGTTCAATCCGACAAAAAATATTTCTGTAATTCAATCAAAGGTATCAAACGAACATGAGGAAGGAATGAAGTGAGCCCGTTGAGTGGGAGTATGAACAAGGTTCCAGAAGGTTGGGTGAAAGCAAAGCCCATTGATCTTGAGTTGGTTATTAGACATATTTTGTAAATTTCGACAAATAAAACCTTATAGTTTTACTTTTAAAAGTTGTAAATATGTTGCGTGGTGAAATCAAACATGGTTTGTAATAGTTTGTATGCTCATTCAACAAAGGAAAACGTCCTCTATGATTATATACAACTCTATGGTGTAAGAAGATTATAACTCGCAGTATTTACTCAACACTACCGAATTCCATTGAGGAGAAAGTTGCATTTCATTCATTCCTGCTTCCCTTTGCTGGTGGGTTTGCTTCTTGTATTCGCAATTGTAGTAGGAAATTCATATATCGTTGGCTTTGAGCCATTAATAATTTCTTCAATTATGTATTTGATAATACGTTAAGAACATTAATGTTCGATTATATTAAGGCATGAAGTGACTTATAAATATGTACCAGGTGGAAACCATAGTTCAGAAAAAAATGATCTTATACACAGAATTATAATTTCACTGTGGATAATGATGAATGTTTTTACCGACGACTCCCACTTTGGTCCTGAAATACTTAGAAATATCAACTCAAGGATATTTAGCTTTGCAAGTTAGGTAATTAACTATGCTCAAATCAAGGGATTTGTTTTTTTCAAACGAGTAACGTTTCATAACGTCAATCTCGGAGGAATAAATACATTTTTCTCCATTTCTGGGGAGAGATTACTGCAAATTAATTTTCACGGAATGAAAGAGAAATTATTTCAAGTTTTCCGATTAATTTCGTGTAATAGGATACAATTTGCGGAGATGATTGTAAACATTGTAGAACAACTTTTCTACATGATACTCGCTCCCTCACTAAATTAAACTCTAATTTGTTGAAACAAAGTGAATTAAAGTTGATATCAAATACTTCAACTAATTAAAAAGCGAACCATAATATAATCCATTTTATATTTTGCAGACGAGTTTTCATTGGCTTTTATTTAGTTTTGTCGTATTAGATAGATCATTATAATTTGGGGAAGTTTTAAACAGAGTTCTCATAAATTCTCTCTACTAGCTTTTTCTTTTTCTAAATTATACCGTGAATTGTTTCCATTTTAGCATAAACTGCATGCATAAGTATGCAAACCATCATGAATAACTTAACCAATGATCCACTTTAAATCTGAAGAATTAACCGTCATTGGGGAAACAGGCTTTCGGTCATTCTTGTAAAATGATAACCTTACTAATCCCAAACTTTTCAGTATCAACTATAAATGATACTTTTCTCTTTGTACAAAGTTGGATAATCACAAAATTCAGAATGTACATACCTAACCCTGATTTCTGCACTGTTAAACTTTCACTGGTGTTTCTAGCTTTTGGTTAGGAACCAACTCGTTTAAACCCCCAGATTAGCACAATTACTTGTATAATTTCTTTGCAAAATTGTAAAATATACGGCGTAAAGAAATTTTCCATAGTTTGGACATGTAAGATAAGATGTGGGAGGAACAAGTCATCTTCTACAGCCAAGAGTAAGAATAGTTACAACCTAAGTTTGTAACATGTCAGAGCTGACAAGTGAAAGAGTACAGCATTCATATTGTCATGTGCATATGTAGCAAGTCTCTTACGATTTAGTCGTTATTGCTTCAGTGATTCCGTCCCATGTTATCTTATCAAAATAACGCAGGACGGCACATGCACAGGTGAACAGACAAGCAATGACTGACGTATTGTTGTTGTTGTTGTCGCTCAAGGAAAAAATAAACTTTTGTCCGAGAATCCACGTTAATTCCACTGCACTGCCGAGCCGACCAAGGAGAGCTCCATCTCGTCAAGTGATGTTTGTTTTGCTCGACGTGATACTTTCACCAAACAGGAAGAAACGTGTAGAAAAGGACAATCTTAATCTCATCTTCACCATAGCTTGATGTTGGGTCTGACAATAGATGCGAAACGTGCTAAAAATACCTAGCAAAAACCGGCTTGCGGTGGTTGTATGTAATTAATGAAGATAAAATTCGCAATGTTTACATTGCCATTGTCGCTTGCTTTTCCCAAAGGGAAAGTCAGTCATGATTATGTGGAGGGTGAACACGCCATTGGAATGGTCAGTATTATTGATGAACTGACTTTCATGGCGTCCATAGCAGGATGAGAATTCTGAAATTTTGAAATTTTGTTTATATTTTTTTGCAGGTGGCAAAGATGGTCCTTGTCGTGGTTTTTTCTTTTATCGTTTGCTGGAGCCCATATTTTATCGTGACCGCGGTGACCCAATTGCAGACGGAGAGTTTCCTGTATAAGAGTCAGTATTTCTTTACCATGCTTCTTATTAACCTGCTCGCTTTCACCAACTCTTGTGTCAACCCCTTCGTCTATTTCGCGATGAGTGCGAGATTCAGAAAGGTAAATCTTTCCGAAAGGGAATTGCAAATTTGACATTTTCTCCGTCGTAGTAAAGTATTAATTAAACTGCATTTTGTATGGCATCCTATTTTGAGAATGATCGTTTTATTGACAAAGCAATTTTAAACGTTTGATATTTAAAAACTATAAAATGCAATTACTTTTAGCACAATGCTATAAGTTTCTAATAATCCAATTGCAACGATATATGAAAATTGCTACGTACAGACAAACCTAATTTCATATACAAAGAAGGATTTTTCAAATAAAGGAAAAAATCACAGTTAATTTACTTTCTTCATAAGATAAAAATTGCAAACGTAAAAGATCAATAATGAACAGAACAATACTACAAGAACTTCATTTGTAAGTACTGCCAGATGGTTTAGAAACCTTATCTAGTTCGGTAAAGTAGACAACATGTCTGGATTGGATATTGTATAAGTAATATTAACCTTGTCGAAATGGTATGCATGCCAAATCTGACATAAATCACAAGGTCTTTACTCAAAGAAGAATAAAAAGTATAAAGGTTGCAAAAATCGAAAATATTTTCATTTGATACACATAATCAGTCATTCGTAACATTAAACCATGTCTGTGTTTCTTTTGAACTTATGTATGCATAACCACGAATCATTCCATATTGAGTTTCCCCAAGGACACGACCCCTTCCCAATGTTACTCCTCTATATTGAAACACAGACAGGGAATTTTGATATTCCCCATCGCTTATCTTTTATCAAAATACTTTAGTAAAGCATAATTATTTATATTTGTACAGGGCTTTATGTGCATTTTACGCTCCTTCCGCAACTGTTCTCGGCGAAGTCGATTCCCATCGGACAATAGCCAATCGTCCCTTCGACACGTGAGTCACAACCGGACGATTAATGGCGTCATGAGTCTCCACTCTCATCCGATACGACGAAACAGCGTCCGCACCCCACGACAAGAGTCCATCTTGCCAATGAGCAGTTCGAGGGGAGGGGGTCGCGGTGGGGGCAGTCGACCAAATGTTTTCCGAGGAACGTCAACCTCCTCAAACCCAGCCACCCCCTACAACTCCACCACTACTGGTAACACTCAAGTAAAAATGTATTGATTATTTCTTGACTTGTATGCACCACCCTGTAATAATTAGAATTAGTCCTTGTCTCTCATTATAAGTAAGTTTGTGATCAATTGTCCGTCGTGGTAAATTAATTGTTTGTCAAACAATTGGAAGCTTAGAAATCAACAATAGTAGTAAAAAGCGTCCATTATTTCGTAATAAATGTCGTAGAAATTTCATTTAGTTTCAATTCCGGTTAGGAAGATGAATGAAACTGAAATCAGTGGTGAACGCGTCTCTGTCTGTGTACGTACATGTGTTGAGAGCATGAGAAGAACATTTCAAATCCTTGCTTGTATTATTTTGAAGCAGGCTCGTCCAATATATCATCACAGTGACCAAGATGACAGATGCACCTCTTGCAGCCGCAGCTCGAGAACGCTCCTACTGCAGATCAATCACTGTAGGAGCCCGACATGCTGCACACACTTGGTTCCTTTGATGACAGATGGGAATGGGAGAATTATGAGTCAGGACAATTTGGAACAGATCTTTCCTTGGGGCGAGTCCTGCGACCTCTGAATCGTATATTTGTCCGTATAGCCCCGCAGCACTCTCTTTGATGGAGCATCTTTAATCCTTGTTCTTTTCGATGGATGGATGGATGGATGAAGAAAAGAACAAAATGCTAAAAATCATAGGTGTATACTTATTTTCTCGTCCTTTAAGATTGTTGACAGTATTTTCTAAAACGTAAAATTATTATACAGCACCAGAAGTACGTTCTAAGTCTATTTTTATGAATGTATGACAAAAGAATTTTAAAATAGTATATCCAAGTCAATTTACCTGATAATGTTTCATTCATAAGCTGAATGATAAGTACTAAAAACGTAATCACATGCGAATGAGTTATGAGACAACTGACGTACAATGAAAGTGTGCAAGCTAAATAACTTTAGTGTTCGTTCAGTCTCATTTTCCGAGAACTATTCGACTTTCATATAATATTTGATAAAAGTTAACTGTTGAAAGTTTTAATGAAAGAAAAATTTCTTCATGGAATCCTATTGAGATATGCATAAGTTAATGTAAGAGAATATTGGGCTATACATTCATGTTATTATGTAGTAGTTATTATAAAACTAATTGGTCACGTAGATTATTTACAAGTTTACTATTTAATTTGATAATGATGTAATATTGCGTAATATAAAGAAATCATGGAATACCTAGCTAACGAAATGTGTTATTTTTCGTCACTTCAAAATGCGAGTGTCGTAAAGAGACTTTTGCGCTTCTTATTTATTTCCTTTTAAATCACGACGTGGATCAAATTACAAAAATAAGTATTTCCAATTATACAGTAATATACAGAATATTGTTGCGACATACTCAAAAGAGGGGAAAAACCCCTCTGAACATGCATGCAGATTAACAGATCTCTTGAGGTATGTATACATACTTACCTTACAAATTAACAAAAATATTATTATTATTACACTGGAAAATGTACTATTTTGATGTATCTAAATACTATAATAAGCTAATCTTGTTTGTAACATAAACTATGACGAGTATTTTAATATAAATAAATCCAAACTTTCTCTCCTATTGATTCCCTATGCGTGCATATTACTCATTTCATACATAAAAAACTGGATACGCTGTAAATGTTGGACAAAAAATAAACAAAATGCGTCGCCAAGAATGACCTGTAAATAAAATCTTGACCTCTGAACTTTCACCACCATGGACGGCTCGACAGGTTTCGCTTTCTCAAAGTGCCCACCAAGACCGCTACAGCGGCTCCGTTTCCCGTGGTGCTTCAACTACGCTCTCTCGTGAATAGCCGACGTCCTCGTGTTTATTCAACAACTGCTGGATTATTCTATCCTGTTTTATTTTGTTCTGCAATTAGTTCAAATAATGCTGAATAGTAATTAAAATCAGTTTGCAAAAAATTTATTTGAGAAACAAGTTTAATTTGTCAAAACAACTTTATAACCCACCAAGTCCAAATTTTCCGAGAAAGGCCTTAAAATGTCGACCGTTTTGGACAAAATAGCCCAAATCGAGGCCGAGGTGAGAGAATTTAGTTGTGAGTTATATTATGATGATAGATATCTTTAATGTTTCCTTAATCAAATGTTAATAATGAGGAGTATGTTCAGTAGGAGGGTTCGAATTAATGTGATGTGTAGGTTAAATTGCAATGTTGTGATATTTATTAGATGGCGAGAACACAAAAGAACAAGGCCACCGCTGGTCATTTAGGTCTCCTGAAGGCTCGGTTAGCCAAATTGAGGAGGGAGTTGATAACGCCTAAGGGAGGAGCAGGAGCTACTGGAGACGGTTTCGATGTCGCAAAGACTGGAGATGCCAGAATCGGGTTTGTGGGTACGTTGTTAACAATCTTGACATGAAATATTGGAATGTTTTACTTGTTACTTAAAGATGCTATTATGTGGTTAACCAGGTTTTCCATCTGTTGGAAAATCAACTCTATTAACTAACCTTGCCGGAGTATATTCTGAAGTGGCTGCTTACGAGTTTACCACACTTACAACTGTTCCTGGATGCATCAAGTATAAAGGGGCTAAAATTCAGGTAAAGGCTTATGTTTATGTTATTCAACATTTTGTAATTTTGGGTGTAAGAGACACCATAATAGATTTTTCGTATGCAATTAACAATGCTTTTATCCACAGCTACTCGATCTGCCCGGTATTATTGAGGGTGCCAAGGACGGGAAAGGTCGAGGTAGGCAGGTCATCGCTGTCGCGCGAACCTGTAGTTTGATATTCATTGTTCTTGACGTTCTGAAGCCTTTGGGACATAAGAAGATTATTGAAAAGGAATTGGAAGGTTTTGGGTTACGGCTTAACAAACAACCTCCCAATATAGTTTTCAGAAGAAAAGACAAAGGAGGCATCAACCTTCAAACGATGGTAAATACAACCTGCAGTTACAACACTTTTATAAATAAATTCACGTGCATATGTACGCATATTACTTCTAAATTGTTTATATTATCCAGGTTCCACAAACGGAGCTTGATTTGGACACGGTGAAAACAATTTTGAGCGAATATCGAATCCATAACGCCGACATTACTTTGAGATACGATGCGAATGCTGATGATTTAATTGATGTTGTGGAGGGAAACAGAGTCTACGTTCCGTGCATCTACTTGTTAAATAAAATCGACCAAATCTCAATCGAGGAACTAGACTTGGTATGGAAAATTCCTCATTGCGTTCCAATATCCGGTAAGTTGATGATTGCTGTTCGTTTATTTTCTTAAAATTTCTTTGTAACATTGTATGATTTTTATCTTAAATTCAAGCTCATCACAAATGGAATTTTGACGATTTACTGGAGAAGATGTGGGAGTACTTGAAACTGATTCGGATTTATACAAAACCCAAAGGACAACTACCCGACTACAACTCACCCGTCGTTCTCAGCTCTGACCATCGCTCACTAGAAGACTTTTGTAATAAAATTCATCGGACCATCATGAAAGAATTTAAATATGGTCTGGTTTGGGGATCATCTGTAAGGCATCAACCCCAAAAGGTGGGAAAGGATCATGTTCTTGAGGATGAAGATGTTGTTCAAATTGTGAAAAAAGTATAATAATAGTTGATAAATTTGTGATTCTATTTGGTTTAACATAAATAACTTGAAACTTTGCTACTGCACATTATTATAAATGAGAAATAATAAACGAAAATTCCAAGTCCACAGTGACCAACATCAACAAGTTTATTAAATGTCATTATTGCGGGACCGTAGCATATAATAATGAATCTGTGAATATGTTTTCATGTGTTTGAAATATAAAAAGTACAATGCAAAGCATAAAATAGTGCTAATAGCTAATACATTAATGAATATAGAATGTAAGTGATGGTAAGTATGTAAGTAGAAGTCAGAAAAAGAATTAGAATTTTGTTTGTTCATGCCAAAGGTAATTTCCAATTAATATGTACAATTTAAATCTCGGTTATTTAAATTACGAGCTTAAGTTAAAATTTCAGAGCTGAATAGCATTTCCAAGTCATCATTTTTAGGGCATAAGGGCATAATCAAGCTTCTAAATTCAAGTATAATGTGAAAGAGGTACTAGTTCAGAGACAAGTTTGCACGAGGATATCCGGTCAAGATGGGTGACTCTTATAACATTAATGATTTAATGAAAGTTAATTTTTTTTAGCACTTTATTTATAATTAATTTTGTTAGGTTGCATTAAACCTGGGTTTTGATGACTGTCTCCTGTATTTATCTATGACAGGCTTAGTAATTGATAATCTCAAACTTTTATAAAAAGGATAACCCAAGACGTCCGGCAGCTGGGGTAAGTTTTGGCAGTCTTTTCAACGGCTTTTGTTTACCTACTGGGTTTGCAACTTGTCGAACACTCATTTCCCAGGAGATGAGAAGTTCATAGACCGTGAACCTTGTAGGCAGAAGCACCTTCCGAGATTTGAAAGATTGGACAATTGACTTCAAAAACGGTGTGGAATCTACAAAAGAAAATGTTCATAAGTAACCATTTATAAACCCTCATGCATAAACAAGAAAAGTTTTGTAAAATACCATAATCCGTTTTAAAGTCAATAAGAATGGGGCTTTCATCAGGATATTCTATTGGAATGACCATTTTAAGAGGAGGCACTTTTGGCAGTTTTGGATCGCCGAGAGAAGCATGCAGCTGCATTGGTAATTTATTCACACGTGGTTTAATCTTTACCTGCATATACAAGATTAGCGTTATTCCTATTGGATTAAAAAAATCATAATTGAATTGAATTAGTGTCTAACGGGAAATCTCCGTCCAAGCATTTTAAGCTCTCGTTGCAAAACCATGGGAATTTCGGGCTTTGGTTCATCCTCTGTTATGTCCTCATCGGGAATATCTGAACCTCTGTAGAATTATAATTCATACTCGAGTTGAAGTTAAGTATTTGTGTATTATATCTATGTTCTATTTACATAACTATCACTCACACTGCGGATTGTCCAGTCAAGGCTTCAATGCTAGGCCTGAATGACCGAAGGAATGTGTGGCTTGCAGATCCATTCTTCATAGTCGTTAAAATAGCCTCTTGAATTTGCAAGAAGGGAGAAATGTGATCTTTTGGAGGCATAGTTGGTTGTGAAGGTGGACCAGTTTCATGTTGTTGCTTTATTAAAATTAAGTAAACATTAAGTCAAATGCTCTCCTTGTAAATTAAATTAGGGTCCTATCTCATTTATCAAATCAATGCATATCATTCACACCTTTTCCATTTTCTTTAAGGCAGCTTCACACTTGAGAAGAATGTCCATTGAAACTTGCCTCACAGGATTCATTAGTATATCCAATAATTTCTTCATCTTGCTAGACTTTTCCGCATCTGTGTTGAGTACTCACTTATTATAGTAATGCATTCACAATAAATACTGATCGTTATCATTTCTCACCGTCTAATCCTAATTTGATTATCATTCTCTGAATCATGTCCGTGTAACGTCTCAACTCTTCAATTTTCTTCATACACGCCAATTCTTCTTGGTTTCTTGGACTAGGTGTCGGAACCATTGGCATCGGCGTGCCAACATTCATTATTGGGGATGGAATCATTTGACCTATTAAGAGGCAAAAATAAGCAATGAAGATGTTGTTTGTGGATTTTTAACTTCTAAATAACCTCCGAAAGGTCGAATGCCAACAGGCATTGGTGCCGGACTCCCATGTGGATGTAAAGGCTGAGGCGAAAATCCAGATTGATTTTGCCTGTAAAGAAAGGGGATCACGAATATGTACAAATACCTTTATTTTAGTAAAAACTAACCCTTGATTCATAGAGTTAGGTGATGGAGTTGGTCCACTTCCCATAGGCATTCCAGGGCTGGGATTCGGAGGTAGGAACGGTCCACCCGAGCGTATATTCCCCTGTTGACCACCTTGGAATTGGTTCGACATTTGGTTCGACATGACACCACCCACGCCTTCCGTCTGCACATCAAAGCAATAGTTAGACTTTCATAATCTATCGTTAATTGCAATTAAGCGTTTCAAAAAATTGAAACTCTGAACCGTGTAGGATAGAAAATGACATAAAGTTAATAACATTTAAACACTCAGTGCAGTAGTAGTAGTAATAGTAGTAATATATAAATGTATATAGTAAGTGGTGTGAATAAACATGAAGTACAATCATAGTACGTACATAAATAGTGCTGATAGAGACAACAACATTTATCAAACCCCTGAAATACGTAAAAGTTTAGATACCACCCAAAAATACAAACAAACGTAAAAAACAATAGGCTAGGAACTGTGAGAAAGAACACATACAATAGAAACATAAAATACACAAACCGAACAATGTTATTAATAGGTAATATATGTAAACTTGATCGGAATCTAGTACCTGAAGCTTTAAACTATTAACTACTTCTTTATGCACAGGGGGACATGTACTGAAAACCATTAAATTTTCAAAATTACTGACAATCACTGCACAATCTGGCTTCGATCCGAAAAACAAGCAATAACAGCGTGCAAGTCACAAGTGCTTTTGATGATGATATTCAAGTTGAAGAAAAGCCGACCAAGCAACACCAGATAAAGAAATTATGTGATTCATTAATAATTGTTAATTTAGAATTTAGAATAGATATTACTAGCAAGTCACATAAGCAAAGCTAGTATAAAGCAAACACAGGCACAAGACAGGAAATTGAACGAATGAATAAAATAGCAGACACGAAAGGAAATGAATTAACTAATGAATGACTGAATTGTTAAGGAGATTTAGGAAATAACAGAGATAACATAAAATTGTGAGCTATGTATATCGAAAGACCGTACCTGTTGATTAAAATAGATTAACCTATTCATGGGATAATTAGCCCCATGCTCAGGTCGAGAAATTCCAATCGCCTTTATAAATCACAACATAAGAATAAAAATTTATATGCATAAACAATTCAAAAGTTTTCAAATCATCATTCATTACTATAAATTATGAACAATGATGTAAACAGTAAGAAAAGGTATTAAAAAAGAAACTACTGTAAAGCAGTTCTGAAATTAGATTTGGGAAATGACCAGAGTACAAAATAAATTCAGAATAGAAAATTATTATTTTCTCAAAACCAAAACTAGATTAGAAATGAATAAAAAATATTTCAGGAAAAGCATTAGCAGTTTGTTGGTTGCAGCCAGCATCTACTAATTATATATATATAAACGTATTACTCATTTAACAAAATAAATCATCAATCAGTTATAAGCAATTCAGGTTTGAACCTCATCATATAACCCAAGGGTTTGAAACATATGTCGCGGCAGTGGTCTGGACTATTAAGTTTAAAAAATCTGTTTGTAAAGATTAGGGATCTAGACGAAGACACGATACTACTTAAGATAATTTAGCCGAATCTGTAACCAATTGCAGGTGAAATTACATAATGTTGATTACCGCTGAATTCATGAGCCGTTGTTGTTGCATGGTTTTCCTCGGCATATGCTGCATTTGTTGAAGTGTTGACATTCTCATCCCTCTTCCAACCCCGACTAGGTCCAAAAAAGTCGAATGACAATTAAAATTTATACATATACTTATACACATAATTATTATAGAAACATCTTGTTCGAAAGAATACCAGATTGTTGCTGATCGTTTTGCTGATGCAGTAAAGCTTGTTGCATTTGTGGATTATGCATCCCTCCTGCATTTCCTTGCATTTGTCCTGGACCCATTCCGGACGACTGCATTCCTGATTGCAACTGAAGCTGTTGCTGGTTCATAAAGTTAGGACTGATCATTTGACCCTGCGGTTGTTGCTGCACTAGCTGTTGCATTTGTTGAGAATTTTGTTGCTGGCCCTGTGGGGCCATATTGACATTCATTCCAGGACCAGGCATTCCTCCAGCCTGCGACACCATCATTCCTCCTCCCTGCCGTTCTAGCATTCCTAAACCAGTGTTTAGCATAGGAGTCATAAGTCTGGTTGGTTGACCTATAAGTGTCCCAGGTGTATTTTGAAGATCCATCATGCCGCCCTGTTGGTTTATTCCCCCTCCTCCCATCCCACCACCCTGCTGATTTATTCCTCCTCCTCCTCCCATCCCACCGCCCTGCTGATTTATTCCTCCTCCCATCCCGCCACCCTGTTGATTTATTCCCCCTCCCATCCCGCCACCCTGTTGATTTATTCCTCCTCCCATCCCACCACCTTGCTGATTTATCCCCCCTCCTCCCCCCATCCCACCACCCTGCTGATTTATCCCCCCTCCCATCCCGCCACCCTGTTGATTTATTGCTCCTCCCATCCCCCCACCCTGTTGGAGTTGTCGTTGTTGCTGCATTCCACCTTGTCCGATTCCTTGGACCATTTGTTGCTGGCCTGGACCCATTCCTTGATGCATTACTGCCCCTCCTCCCATGTTGTTTAACTGGCTTATTTGATTGTTCAGAACGTTCACTCCACCCCCACCACCCAGTTGGTTGAGTGGGGTACCTGGCGGTTTACCCTTGTTCCCCATTTCCTTAATGTGAAGGATTAGTCTCGCCACGAAACTTAGGTATTCATTCTAACAATAAAGATTCAAATACAAATTACTGGTTAATAAAGATCTACGGAAACTTGAACATGATAAAATTTAAATTACCTTTGTCGTGGCTTTGGAATAGACTTGGTTTTCCATTTCGGCTGCATTTTTGTTTGTTGGGGCTCCACAATGTAGAATCGCCTCCTCACTTCGAAATTGAGATACAATTATAATTTTAAATACACACATTTAATTGCACAAATCTCAAGCCTGAATGGTTTTGTAAAGAATATCGACTGAATACTTCTTACATTTTAGCCACCATATTATGTCGAAAGCTCTGAGTTCGCCAAATCCCATCGTCCACGACTTGGATCATTCCAGCCATCTTTATAAATTATTAATCGCCACACCCTTCTTACTTTAACACTTTAAGCATTAAGTTAAACTCCGACTGAAAACAAAATAATAGCGAACTGCAAATTCGTCTGCAATTATTTTTACAACTTCAGAGAGACTTTAACACCTTAATATTTTGACCAGAACTTTTGTAACTAATCTGCTTACTAATAATTAATTATTAAGCAAATAGTAAGTAACGTGTACACAAATTGTGTAATAAACACAATTATCATAAATTCTAATGCCTACAAAAAATCTTGTCTTGTGTTGTGCCTGGTCAGGCCAATTAACAGTTTTCTCTCTCGGCAGTTCCGCACAGAATCTGTGCCACAGATGATGATCGAGCTGATGATCGAAGAACCATGCCCTACCGCCACACACGTATTCTCATTGACTTTCACAATATTTTAATTCTCATTTTTTAATTTTCGAAGTAAAAAACAATGGTTCAATTTTTTAGTTTATCATGACAAATTTATTGAGAAGTACATTCCAGTTTTTTTTACATCAAATGATTGTGGTTAAATTTAGACGATGCAATACATGCATCATAAATTATGATTCATATTTAATCAAAGTGTGGAGTGAATGCAAGATTATTACCAGATCATTATAATTATTTACGCATTTTTTTATGGATCAGATTTGCGTTCGTCAATCGTTTCTTACGTTCAGAGGCAATGGTTCCCTGGTACGAGAGACGAGAAATGGAAAGAGAGCGTTGAGCAGGGGTCGATGAATTGGTTTGAGATGCTGAAGACTTTTGGTGACCGCGAGAAGTATTCGGAACAGAAGTGGAAGATGTAAGGACGGTCTTCTTGGTTGAAAGTTCATGAGGAAAGAGAGTACGGTTCTTATCAGAAGGTGTTTTTGGTGTTTTGGGTCGAGGTGTTTTTGGAGGAGATGAAACAGGAGTTTCCGGCTTGTCTCCCATACTGGAATCGGGGTTTCCCTTTTGGATTGGCCCAGATTGACCCTTCTTCTTCATAGATGAAGAAATGGTGTCTGTAAACAGAGATGATGAGGCTTGACTGTTTCGTTCTCGTTTCTTTGGTGGAGTTTCAGGTAGCTTGTTATTAGAGTCTTTTTTCTCTACTTTTTTCTTCTTGGATCTTTTTCGATTGCCACATTTTTCCCATTTTACCAGCATTTCGTTGTAAACTTCTTCGAATGGTCTTGTCTCTGGATTAACCCTACACACCATACAGATTTAACATTATTGCACTTCTCATATTTGACAATATTCTCTTACCCATTATACTTGATGATGTTAACATAATTTTCGTAATATGCGTCCGGCCGAAGATCATGAGTAAAAGCAAGTCTGTCACAGCTTTTGCAGTCCACTTCTCTGAAAATTCAAAAATGAAACTGACATGAAATAATTCAACTTATTCAACATGTGCTTAATAAAGCATACAATAAAAGCTACTTACAATGGAATAGTTCTCATTCGCCCGTATAATGGGTATCGTTTTCGAAAATCCCAATGTGGTGGTCTTCGAAAGCTGGGGGCTTCACAATTCAAGCGAATTCGATCCGCAATTTTTTGTTTGATGCGAGTTCCCCGGAAACTGACGCAATGGACATGTGGTATCGGACAGTACAAGAATCGATTCAGCTTGTGGCTCTTGTAATATTCATCAGACAAGTAATTTTCTCCTTCCGAGCATCGAAGGTAGCTCCCAGTAGGGTTACGTCGAAATTGCTTTTTAGTTCGGTTATACTCCCTGGGGACTTGTTTCCACATAATTTCACGTGCTTTCTCATTCGCAATTTGAAGAGGTTTAGGTTGAAATGCATTGCGTTTGATGCAAGACTCAAAAATCTTGCTATCTCCTTGAGTCTCCTTTCGATCTTGGGCATCATTTTCGTCCTCATCCCCAAAGCAATAGCTATACGTACCGCTGATAGCTTTCTTAATTCCTTCAGTATCGTCCTCTGACTCATCGTTTTGCTCATTATCCGTCTCTTCTTCACTACCGGAAAAATAATGCGGGTCTATTTCTTCATAATCTGGTAACCAAGTTCTTCGGATTGAAGTCCATGATTGTGGCAAGTCTTCAAACTCATTCTCCAACAACTCTTCAGGTTTAGAAATGGTCTCCTTTCCCCTGCGCTTCTTTCCAAGCTTATTCTTTATCGGCTTGCCTATTTTCTTCATCTATATGAAAATTAAAACATCATAAATACATCATAATTTTTACTTGAAGCTATAACTTGCATAGTAATGGAAGTAAGCAACTCGTTCCGAATTTCTCATAACCACCAGAAGAACTCATACTTAATTAAACGGAACTATTATACTCGTTCTCTCAATATTATCTGCTCACCATGAAAAGATACACAAAGTGTGTAAGTACATACTAATAACTAATGCATAATAATACCAAAGTCGTATTTAACAAAAGGAAACAAAATTTTCATGCCTGTCATAATATCATACCAACTCGGTCAACTTTGCATGCGTTTATTTGCACCAAGTTTGTGTTTTTTTGTTATTATGACATGTAACCATTCTTTCCAACTATCGCACTATCTTGTTGGTGCACTCAACAACATTCATTCGATATCATCCAGAGTTGGTTATGATGGAGTTGAACCTAATCCTAAGTAATTACAGTCTTTTCCAACACCATCAAACAACTCGCTTCTAACTCTCGTCATGCAATGTCCAAACCTAAAACCACCACCAACGAAACAACTACAACGGTACCATTACCATATAATGAGCACACACATATAAAAAAGAAAATCAAAATAAACCATCAAGTCTACGGCATGAACGACTGAATTGTGAAGTAATAATAACCGAGTAAATACATTAGCATTGTAATATTTAACTAACTAACTACGATTCTTGTTGTGCCATTACTATATCTACTTACCTTCCTTGATTTCATTTTGCATTCGCCGAGAGTCAAGTGTTTGAAGCGAAAATGTAACCAGCTCCCCTCTCGTTGTGAATCCAATCCAATTTTTGGTTATCTTGCGTCTCTTGCCTTGTGTGTCAGTCAGTTGTTCAAATTAGCTTGGCAAGTATTAAACAACTCGTATGCATTTTATTAATTGTACTTACCCGAATGAACTGCAAAGCAAATCGAAAAGTTTAATTAATTGTCATTCACGCTTTAAGAGCGACCAGAGTATTGTTTGACCCTGAACAATAAGTAGCAATAAAATTAGAACTGTTAACAAATAATGCGAAACGATAAAGCGCATTTCGTGATTGTTTCATATTTATTCCTTACCTGAGTTGAACAAAGTTGAAAAAAGTTTACTGTTGCAAGTCAAATACTGAAATCAAAACCAGTCGTCTCGGGTTTCAGATTGATTTTCAGAACAACAAGTATCAAAGTTCTATCGACTGACTAAATAGTATACTTGTGAGATTACGTGTGTGATTTTTAATTGTTGATGATCAAGTAATTTTTAGAAAAAGTGGGGAGCGGAGGAAGAACAGTCAGTCGTGATAAAAAACAAAATGAACAATGCCAATCGTCTGGTTCTCTGCTGCTGGATCTTTGGTTGACTTTTTGACCTGATACTTTTTTTCGGTGGGCAGGGGCGTCATATCAAATTTACAGCTTAAGAAAAAGTCAAAAATGGAAACTCTAAATTCGAAAGCTACAACCACAAAATCAACAGGTGTGTAATACCAACTATTTTCATTATATTTTGTATTTTAAATACATATGAATGACTATTAGTTAATAGTTATGTGCTGTTATAAAATGTGAATGCTTATGCTAATAGTTAGATAGCATATAGTTCTAATTTCTAATTAAAATTAGTGGCATGTCATATTTTTTGAAGTCATTATCTCATTATGTTCTTTTGAAAAGAATCTTTTCATCTCGCTGTAAAATTGTGTCACGAACTGGGCAAGTTAATGAGGTACGCCACTGATGTCCAGGTGAAGATAGATCACCTCTTTGAACTTGAGGTCTTTGAACTTGAAGATGTATACGATCACTCCCAAGACAACAAAAATGATGGAACGAATATTACTCCACAACCTCCTTGGCTCCTTGATTTCCAAATTTTCTTATCTCATCTTTTTACGCTAAATTGTCCGTTTATACTCATCAATTTTTATTCCCCAAATGGCTTATCAATTTCATCAATCCGCTTCCTCCCCCAGTATCCTTCATCGGTCACACTCTTCCCACCATCTCCGACGATGTCCCAAATTCAACAACTTGGCAAGTCTCGACGATCTTTTGGACGTCTTTTCCTCGTCTCTCGTCATTCCCTCGGCTACTATAAGTCAACCTGTCATTGGATCTGCACTACTTTCACGAGTCTCATCCTCACGCTCTGAAGCCGCATTGATCCTTAGAAGAACAGGAAGAATTGCAATCAATTTCTCCAGCTTTGGGAACAACAATGGTTTTAGGAAAACGGCTTCGTCCAAGGGGATCAGATGTTCACCACTCCGACGCCAAGTTTCGATTTCAACGCCATTTTGTGGACAAGGGCATTGCATGAGATATTGTTCAATCAAAAATATTCAGAACTCCTCCATGGGACCCATCAAATTTGAAGAAGAAAATCAAGACAAAATTATTGCTTCGAAAATTGAGAAGCCTTCAGAAGTGATCGTCTTCGATTTGAATCAGAACATCATTAACGAATAGATTCCGGAAAGTATAGTCCAAAGGAAATGGATTCGGACCCAAACAAAGCAGACTAAATTCACAAATGTTATTTATTCATTATGATGTCATAGCAAATTATTATGTACTCTCTAACGATTTATGTCTTAAAATAAATTCTACCAGTAATAACTTACCACAATTTGTCCTTTTGTTTCTCTAAATTTTACAATCTAACTTTATTATAGTTAGTTAAACCATTAAGTGAGTACAAATTAATTTTAACCTTCTTGTTTACTAGCTTAATATTATTGGTAGCAGTTTTAAGGTCTAGTTTCACTTTCTTATTTGCCCATGTCATTTTCAAAAGGGTGTTGGATTTCAACCAAGTAAATGTTTGCATGAGTTTGATACATACTTATATCCTTAAGATATATTGCTTGGTTTTTATTATACAGTTCGATTGTGATTATAATGAGGGTGTTGAGACTTAATGAGGATAGGACTGCATTTCATTTCATTATTATTATTGTTTAATTTCGTCATGCACGTGTGAATGATGTGGCAATTATTACTTTAATAGAATTATCTTCAGTTCGTTAAATCTTTCCTTATACATACATATTTCCTTTCAGGCATGGATTCGAATATGACCAACTCGTCGGGTGTTGTCCTTCGTGAAGACGTGTTCACATGCCTTTCCAGAAATGGAGAAACGTTTCGTCTCGTCCTAACCAAGACACATTTACTTCTACACAATTCGAAAGATCACTCGAGAATGAGCCGATATGCTGTCGAGGACATATTTGGATGTCATACGCTTCGTCATAAGAAGCAGGATGCGTCCTATACGTCTGCCTACATCTGCTTCTACCTGTACCCTCGGAACAAAAAGAAGGGACTCATGTCCAACATCAAGTACAGGGAAAAATGTGTGCTTGTCTTTGAAGTTAAAAAGTCGGGAAACTCGTTTGATAAAAATTTGGATATTGCGACGCTGTGGAAGAACGAAACATTAGGTGTTTTAGCTAGCAAGTACCCAAAATGGCAGTTGCAAGAGTCAGGAAGTAGTAATCCGAACAACAATGATGGCACAAAAATGGTATCAACAGCAATTAGTAAGGACATCATGGATCACAGTACTCGGACTGGTGAGCCGAAATTACCTCTGGCAAGTTACCTGTCATTCTTGAGACGCTTCTTGGTAATTCTCAACCCAAAAAGTGGTCAAGGGAAGACTATGGAAATGTTCCAGGTATGATTGATTTTATTACGAGGATGATTACTTTTAGTCTCACGTTTTTTAAGAGTATCTGATTAATGACCATACACTTGGTTTTATGGCATGGATTGATAACTTATTGGTACAATTGATAATAAGGATTGCTTAATGCCATTTTGTTGTACTTCAATTAGTATCCACCCTCGTGAAATGAAATTGTATACTAAGGTTATTATCAACCTCGCAAGCTCCCCTCCTAAGCACATATATTGACTGCAATTATAGTTTATCCCTCCCTGCTGTTAACACCCACAATCGATGATATCTCTTGTTGAGCCGTGGGCACATAGTTCAATTGCAGAATGTGTGACATCACTTTCCACTCATGTCATTTCCATTCATACAGTTATTAATTGGAACTGCAGTATCATTGTCATTATTTATGTCATTAAGATTAATATTTGACGTCTATGATTCGACTTTAAATACCTTTCATCGATATAAATTAAGAAATTGATTAATTGACTGAAGAAAGTTCAAAATCATTCTAATAATCAAATCACTATTGTTCAAACTAACAAGCTTTTGTTGAATTGTTGGTGCTTCATAAATACTTTAGTTAATTTAGACAAGGAATTGTTACATGCATATCATGAATGAAATATTTATTTGTACATATTGGCACCTTCTCTTACGATTAGATCTCATTAAAAACGATCTCAGTTGAAATATGGCTTCAATTTGTTATTTACAGGACAAGGTTGCCCCCACTCTGAGAGAAGCAGGAGTAAAAATGGAGTTGCTTGTTACCCAGCATCCAGGCCACGCGAGAAACATGATATCATCCGCTGACTTGTCGGAAATCGATGGAATTATAACCGTGGGAGGAGATGGAATTTTATACGAAGTTGTCAATGGACTCAGAGCTCGGGAGGATGCATCTAGAATTGCTAATGTATGATTTAGTAGTTAAATTAAGTCGTCAACCTTTTATAACATCTTCATTCATCACTTATATTTGGGTCAAACTCTTAGATTCCTGTTGGGGTTATTGCTGGTGGATCTGGGAACGGCTTAGCTCGATCCCTTGCAGAATACTCTGGAGAGGCAGAAGACTACCTTCGAAATCCTGTATTGTCTACAACACTAGCGGCGGCTCGTGGAAAAGTTTTAAAAGTCAATTTGGTCAGTACCAGTATTATTTCACTTGGCTTAAAAGCAAATTTTTAATAAATTAATAATTAGATTCTAATGCGTATCATTTATGTTCTATGTTGATATAATTGTAGGCGGAAATTGATCTTGATGGGAAAAAGATTTATTCCTTCTTATCCGTGGGTTGGGGCCTCTTGGCTGACATTGATGTCGAAAGTGAAGTCTTGCGAGCCCTTGGAGAGTCACGATTTACGATTTGGTCGTTCTACCGTTTAGCAAAACTCCGATCATACAAAGCCAAACTTTCCTTTGTCCCATCCATCGTCACATCTGCTGATAAAATCAATCAAAACGAAATTTCAAAGGATAGAATTCAACTCGTTGAACCGACCATTATCGATGGGGATTTTGTATGTATTTACGCCACATATCAATCATATATAGGGTCGGACCTTGTATTTGCTCCAAATGCTGCTCCAAATGATGGCTTAATTCATCTGGTTTACATGCTGGGAGATATTGGGCGAGCACGAGCCACTCAATTTTTGATTAGCATCGATAAAGGTAGTGCATTTTGGATTCTACCAATAACATGTTTGATATCGAAAAGAAATGTTGATTAATTGTTGTGTAAACTATTCTTTAGGAGCCCACCTGGATGTGGAAGGTGTGAAATATGTTACCGTCAAAGAATTTACCATTGAAAGAGAAGGAGGAATTGAAGGAAACCCTACCATCGACGGGGAAAAAGTGGCTGGTGATAAGATCCATGTGAAACTATCTCCAACGCCCCTGAACCTATTCTCGCTTTAATTCAGTATTAATTCCTCCATCGAATTATTAGAAGAGCACCATTTTGTCAGAAGTAACCCGATATGATTCGCTTACAAATTCCAAACTCTAGTTACTGTGTATTAGTCATTCAGTACAATCAATGGTTGTATGTTTTGTATAAAACAAAAGTATTCCGCTATTATTGTGATATATTGTCAACAATATGCATGTGCATAAAATTCTAAGGATTATTACCTGTAGCAGTATTGCAATCAATGTTTTAATGAGTAATAATATTTTTCTCAATCCTACTGGCTGTAAACCGTATTTTAAAATAAATTGTGAAATAAATCAAACCATATTTATGATGCATACTTATGATGCTTACATATACGTACATACACCTCAAATGCACAAAACCAGAAATAAAGGTGCATAAACCGATTGTTTTGCTTTCACAACATTCATAAAATCTTTTATTTGAAGCTTACTACTCTTTGAAACGAGCTCAAACTATTTAAAACTAACATCAATAATGTAATTCATCATTTCAATAAAATAACACAAAGATTATTACAAACTACCTTTTTTAAAAATACGGACAGTATATTGTGCATTCCAGAACGTGCACTTTCGTTAAAAGGTAATTTTTAAGTGCTGTGATATAATTATTCAACTATTTTTGATATATGTATATTTATATATTTATATGTATATACCGAAGGGTGAAGATCAAGGTACTGGTAATCTCACGAATCAAGTGTGCAATCTTATCATCGTAGCAATAGTCAATAGTAATTTATATTTCAAAATACTGAATAGCATAGCAGGTTCCATTGTATCTTAAAAAAGAGCATCTTTCTCCATCTTCTAAATTTCTGGTATCAAATAATTTTAGTTGGTCATAAAATATAGGACTATTAAAGATCTGTCCAACTGGAATAATAACATATCAATAGCTGAATAGCATAATCCAAAATAAAAAATAATACCATGAATATTGACTTTTTAAATAAATAGGCTAAAATTACAAAATATATGTAAAAGAATCATCTAAAAAAGTAAAACCATGCATATTGCAATATGTAATGTCGCCAAAATAGCTGACCGTTCTTGTTTGAATACAATGACTACAACAAAAATTGTACCACTATTGCTGTACTGTAACATAAATAAAATTCATAAACAGTGGAAAAAGTAAATACAGTATGCAAGCAGGTAACTGTAAGTCTAAACTCATGGAATAATAAAATCTGGTCGTAGTAGAAAGAAATGGCTGCCTACATCATTGAAGAATGACATAAAACAAAGGAATACTAAATATCGGTGGTATTTTTAAAACTATATAACGAGGACATTGTAAAATAGTCATTAATCAATCAAAACTGAACTCTGTTATAAGTACATAGACTTGGCTCTCAGATACTGATTCTAAATCCATACACTAATGGTAAATGTATTAATAGTTCTGTGACAGTTGGGAGACGACATACAATGAGAAAGAGAGAACTAACTTTTACGAGAAACGAGCAAGTTGATATTCTCTTGACAGTTACTTAATATCTTTTTGACAATTTCAAGACCCATGTTTGACACGTCTATTCCATCAACTTGCAATATCTTGTCGCCGACTTTTACTGTGGAATCCACTGTGTCAGTACCAACTACGTAAATACCCTAGAAAATATACACCATAATTAATAATAAGCATAAGTAGTTTATGTAATCCAATTTTTTAGACTTTGTCGTTCTGAATACATACCTGCCCATCTAGGCCGTGACCTACTGCAGGCGCTTCACTTACAGAGAAACCTAGTGAATTGATCTTCTTAAACTCAATAGCAACCTAGATATTCAAAATAATTAGATTAATATTAGAATAATAATCAACAATAAATAACATAGTTCCTGTCGTGATTGGATTTAATACTTACAACTCGTGCATTTTTATGAGTTCCAAAAATCCAAGGTTTTTTTCCTAAGCTTGGAATTCTAGAGATGCCGGATGTAGGGATGTTTGAAAGACTAGTGTCAGCCTCATTATTATTTTCAGATTGGTATGCAGCATTGTCTACATTGTTGGTTGTTTGGTGGGGAGGAGATATTGGTAATGCGGTACGCAAAGTGTCGGCGGTGGTCGTAAACTTGGGAATTCTTGTACCACTTCCAGTCCTTTTTAAATCGTGTTTCTCTGGTGAAGGTTCACCGAAACGAGAGATTTTTGTCCCGGTAATGGAATTGTCAAGGTTGCTATTTGCATTTGATTCTGGAATACTGCTAGAATTCATGCTGCGGTTCTCTACAATAGTGGAAGTAATAATTCCACCACCAGTAGCATTTCCAGTAGAAGAAGACGACGAAAATTTTGGTGAAACTAAAGAGCTTTTCTGAGTAGAATTTGCTAGCGATGGAGAAGTAGCAGTGGTCGTTATTTCATCTCTTGTTTTACCATTATCAGCGGAACCAAATGATGGTATCCTACTGGGATTTACAGTTCTTGCAATAGACGGCTTTGGACTTAAAATTTCTGGCTTCTTAAATTGAAACTGACTCTGTTGTTGGCCGCTAAAATTGTGCACTGCTGATGACTTGACTGGCGATTGGAATGAAGTGGTTTTGGGAATGCGACTATTCAGGCCTCCTATGCTGCTTGTTGAACTGGTTTGACTCCCCCAACTTTTCTCAGTTGTGTCATGATTCATGTAACTTTTACCAGCTTCCAAAGATTGATCGACGAATGGAGGACTTTGGGTGGAATGGAACTGTTGGTGGTGGTTGTTGCTGTCACCCGAGGAGGAGATAGTTACGGGTAAGTGACTATTCACAAACTTATTGGAATACGTCAATCCAAATGTAGGGATTTTTGAATGATTTTCACTTCGAGTAGAAGAAGATACGTTCGCAGGTAATACGTCCAAGCTTGTATCATTAATAACTTGCTCTGGTGAATGATGCATTCCAATTTGCTGACGTGATAACAATGGGCTGGGTTTCGGTGGTACTGCTGGGGGTCCTTTAGAAGTATGGAACATTGAACTTGGTATGCCGGACGGAACAATTGGTTTCGGCTTAACTTTGGAGTCCACGTGATCTGTTTCTTCGTTTAGACCGACATTGGAATATAACACTTCTCCTTCCAAAGGTGGGGGTGCAGGATTATTGCGATGATCATCTTGTTGCTGTTCTGTTATTATTTCTGCATCTTGCCAACGATCTTCGCGTAAAAATTCTGTCGTTCTTTTATCCACACTTTCTAGAGCTGATTCAATAGTTTTCACTAAATTTTTCGAGTCAAGTGTCCCCTTATCTAAATCAAGTGTAGATGATCCTCCTTTGTCCAGATTTTCTTCAATAGAAGAAGACGCAGCGTCGGAGTCGTCAATATCTTTGGAAATAGTGTATGTTTTATTCAAATTGAAAACCTCTTCATCATCGTCAGCCATTGAACTTTTTGTATTTCGATTAGAGGCAACATTCATGTCCGTAGACTTTGAGACGACTGAAGGTGATGTAGATGAACTAGTACTAGAATGGTAAGGTTCGGCTGTTGTTGGTAGTGGAAATATTCTGCCAACGATTGGGGAGGCCCGAGCATGGCCTTGGGTATCTTGAGGAGTCGGTGATCCAAGTCCTGAACCACCGGCTCCACCAGAGGAGCGAAAAAATGCAGCCCGTCTTGCAGCCACGTGGTACGGAGGAGGACTTTTTCGAGCCATTTCTGTAGCTGAAACGCCATAACTCTCACGATTAGATTTATCAGGACCATCCGGCAGCCCAGTAAATCTAGTTTCAAGTTGGGAAGATCCTGCTGTAGAAACATCCAGCTGCTGGTTTTTCCCAACGTCAGAAATATCTTGGTGGTTGTTTTGTTGAGATGATATATATGACTGCCCCGTAGTTGAAAGTTGCTGTGGATATGAAGAGGAGGAGGAAGAAGGGGTCGAAGAATAGCTTCTAGTGGCAACATTGGCTGGTGCCACACCAGGCAAGCCAATGGTGTCAATACTGCTAATTCCATGTAATGGGGATTTGTAATCTACTTTTGATGTGGACGCTCCGGATGTTAGTAAATTTGATTGATACGCAGAATAACTTGAATTGACAGGAATTTCTGGAACAGCCTTAGCTTTAGATGACGTATCGGGAATATCAATAGAAGTTTGGACGGAATTTATTCGGGTCGATGCAATACTAGTTTTTGGGTCGCCACTGCCACTCTGCAATTTACAATTAATTTACATATTAAACCTATCGTCAAGTCTAATTCTGCGACAATGTGTTTAAAAACCAAATTATAGCAATGCAATACTTCTTAGTTATGTATGCATATATACATACATTCAAAAACCTCATTGTTACTTACTAGTCGGAATCCTTATGCACGCATGAATATATATTTCACATTTAAGATATTTAAAATATTTATATAATAGGAGGATTTAATACGAGTTCGCATAATTTTGAAAAAAATTGTGAAGTAAGTTGATATGCACAAGTTCTCAAACAAATTTTCAAGTCAATTTTTTTTGGGAACTTGCGAACTCTGTCTCTTCTGCTAACGATGCGAACCCGTCATGAATACCCGCAAGAAATAAGTTAAATTTTTTACCGGCTGCTCTTCCGGATAATCTCCATCATACTCTGGTTCATCCTAAAATAGACAGAATTTTGATTGAAATTCATCCAGTCGTGTGATCAATATCTCTCTGAGCTTTCATTGCTATATAATCTTACCGTGTTGACAATATCTCCATTGTGTTCTTTAGATTGTCGATTGTGAATGTGAGAAGCGTGCTTTGCCAATGCTCGTAGCTCTTTGGGGTATGGTGTCGGAGCTCGGAGTAGTCCTCTTTTGTTTACATTGGACTCAATAACCACCGGTTCCACATCCGTCAGGAATTTGATGGACGGTTTACTTCGTCGAGGTAAAGGATTATCATTTGACTCGTCAATGTATTTCCTTGCTTCGTCTGTAAAACGACAATATAGTAAATATCAAATTCCCACTGATCAATCCATATCACTCACTAATTCACTATTCTTTAATTGAATTTCATGACGCATGCAAGTCAATTGTAAAACCTCTCTCGGTGACATCAATGCTATGTACACATATCCTGAACAATTTCAGGTGAGGAATATAAGACTAGGCAAATTAAGTGATTTCGCAATGAACGCGAACATGCATAAGACAAATTATAGTTTTCTAGTTTACACTAGCTTTCGACAGTCATGTTTAACCTCCATCAGGATAATATGGATTTTTAAAAAATATTTAAAAATTACTAAAACAATAAATTATCCTTGAATCATGACAGTTTTATACAAATTGTAACACTATATACGACAACTTCAAAGAAACCAACTTTTTTAAGGTACATATTTCATATTTATGAAGAAATTTATTGATTTGAAAGCATTTGAAGCACTAATCCTAAATACATATATATGTCCATATGATTTACTGGAAAGTCAATTCTCGAATCTCGATCACCATGATTATCACAAATTCATTTTCACATGGGATTTCAAATGCAGTACGTGATTGTCATGTTTGGGCATGTCAAGGAGCCAACGTGCTTTCCCTCACACTCCAGCCTCATCGCTAACTCTCTTGACAAATTATCTGGATGAAGTGAAAGCAGTCAAACACAATATGAGTTTGGTAACTTTCAGCCGTCGCTAATTTCCCCAACGTCGATCGAAAAGTATTATTGTGTTTTAAATGCGATGCTGCTGGAATGAATGCCATTTGACTCCAACAAGAATACAATTTGGAGGAGTCAGCCAGTCAACGAACAACGCAGAGAAAGCAAACAAAGAGTGAAAGGAAATAAACATGTTTGCAGAGAAAAGATTCTCAACCTGTCTCCTATAAGTCACCTAGTCAAGAAATGTTTTGTAAAAAAATAATTTGTAAACAAAGAAGTCGGGAGTCTTCCACATCCTTTTTCTGGTACTAATAATAATCCTTTTGGGAAAACTGAATTTTTCTTTGACATTTACAATCTCGAAGGAGTTGTTTATAGAGAAATTCTGTACAACAGCAGCAGCAAACTTTAACAAGCCGACCTTATTACGTTTAGCGAGAAAAATGTAGGACACGACAGTCAACTGAGATAACTGTGCGCTAGGGACTTACCTCCATTGTAAGGCAACTGTGGTAAGAGATAGCAAGTTAACACATGTTGTCCGGAAGCAGGATCAATTTCTTTAGGAAAAAAAATGAATTATAAATAATTAAGTTCTAAATTATTCAATGAGTTCTGTCTATATCGTAATTAGTTTGGATATTTAATCCTGTAACTGGCAATTTAAACACCAAGTTACACTGTGAAATTTACCTGAGGTCAATGGAAGAAGTGGTTTGGACTGAGACTCTGACAGCCAAAGTGCACCCAACTTGGTAATGCTAAGAATAGAAACGGGCAAATGGACGACGAGGTTTCCAGACAGCGTGAAAACTTTTAGAGCGCTCAAGTGTCCAACTTCCGATGGAATCTCTTTCAAACGGTTCTTGGACAAACTTAAGACGGTCAAAGAGGTACAACTCCCAATCTCTTTCGGCAGCGAGGACAGCAAGTTATCATCCAAGTAGAGGGTATGCAGCTTTCTCAAGAGACCTGAAAAAAGATAATCCCGCCCACGTTATTAGCACGGATCGCTGCAATATGTTTCTTGACACACATAATTTTTGTGAAAGCAACATGTTTCAAACAGAAAATTTATTTCAAACGTTTAAAATATTACTCAATCATCGTTTAAAAACAGCAATAAAATCTCACCCATTGAAGCCGGCAGGGCTTTCAGAATATTTCCCACAATGCTCAACTCCTGCAAATTCTTCAGATTTCCAAACTCCTCGGGAAGATACGAGATAGAATTACAATCGAGGCGAAGGACAGATATGTTTTCCAGCTTTGTGAACGAGTCAGGTAACGACTATGAATGACAAAAAACAAACCATTTTTACTTTTCCTTCTGGTCATATGTATTCATCCATATTAAGCAACATGCAAAAATGAGACTGGGAATCGGGACAGAATGCAGAGTGTGATGAGACTCTTAATATACAAGGAAGAGCAAGTGCCGTTCCTAAAAAAACAGTTTCCAAGCAGAAAACCTAGAAAATAGGCGATGCTATTGAAATAAATTAAAGACATGGATTCAAGCAGGAAATGGAAATATCACCCCATTTTCTAGGACATATGTATACCAAGGAGGAACAAGAGAATCCTCGGGTGAGCGAAGGAAATATGGGGAGAATGGATTATAGGCAAAAGAGTTCCAAGAATTGTAGTTGGCAATAAAAGTGAGAGCAACGAGTCGGAGAAAAGTTTTCCGATTTAAACTGAGCACGTACCTGTAAGCTGTTTACGTTTAGTGTTACGTCCGACAACTGAGTACATTTGCTAATTTCTTCGGCAATCCCTTGAATCTCATTTTGTGACGCATCCAAGCAGTTCAACTTTGTCAGGTTCCCGATGAACTGAAACGGCAATAAAAACCAAACATTAAAGTAGTGCGACGACGACGACGCGGTGTGGAAATTGCATAATAACTACAGCATGTAACACTGTAACAGTATGGCCTTTACGACTTATAGCATTCACATAATTAATATTCAATATCTTCCTCCCTCACTTGTTTTCTAGAATAACAGAACAGAAATAGAACAGGTCTGCTAAACTGCTGCTGGGTTTTCTGTTCTATTTCCCTTTTCCAGTTTCTAGATCTATTCAGGTAGTCTCATCTATAACTCACTACTTTTGTATACATTTGGTCGAGAGTCGAGACACATATTCTGCACAGAAACTTTGCAGATACATTCCCCAAGGCACACATGAGCAGGTTTTGTCTACCATTTGGGAGTATAACCACATCACATTTTTATATTTGGAGACAACCCAGGTTTTTTAAAGTACTCAGAAACTCGTTACAGAATGCATATAAAACAAACAGAAATTAAAATGAAACGAGCCGGAACATAACGTCTTCCAATTCTAGAGAAACATGACAATAAAATAAATGTGGAAAAGAATCTTAGAATCTTGGAGTTTTCTGCTTATTTTATTTTTGGTTCCTAATTCTTTATAAAGACCACTGGCAACAAATGAAATACATAATAATATATAGTATCGGATACTGTCCAAAGTGAGGGTATACTTGTTTTTATGATTTATAGGAAAAACACTAACGAAATCTGTATAAATGCATGATCTGTTGTGAAGGGAATGAGAAGGATAATACATAAAGGACGCTATACATAGTTTCATGCAGCTATGGATCATGTATCGTCATAAAATGGGGATTATTTTTAACTATATATGGAATACACAGGGTTGTTGAAAAGTATTTGCAAGATAATCCGAAATTAATGAAAATGAAGCTCAGAGCGCTTATAGACATCATCCTGCTTGAACTCTTAACAACGCTTCAATCACTTCATGCCAGTTAAAGTATTAGAACAAAGTTGAAAAGGACCCTTGGAATAATGGAGGACTAATATAAGGACAAAGTTAATTCTTAGGTATCCCCCCAGACAGAATGATACTCGAAGTTTAACTCGAAAACAACATGTTTTATAAATAAAGTCAGTTTTGATGATCCCGTCAATATTCTATAACATCATGGAGTTATAGTCAAAAAACCCTAAGTAAAACCCCATTGACGTCCACTTGAATTTCCTCTGTATTCAATATAAATAACTTTCTAAGTAGGTAACTATTTACAACACCCGCAAATGACAATTTGTGATGGAAAGTTGCTTATCAAAGTCTCGAGATAATTTTAAAATTGTACATATGAAGTGAAGACGATCAGGATGCTCAATTTATCAGTCTCCAGTATTCATACAAGTATTTAAATTAAATCACTATAATTGAGCACAAAATAAACCGTACAAGCTAATTTTCAACTACTAAAATAAACTGTTTTAATACCTTTGGAATTGAGCGAATAGTATTGTTGTCGCACCATAGTTCGGTTAAACTTGACAACGTCCCAACCACGTCCGGCTGAAAATATTTATTAAAAAAACATGTTAGTTCAACAAGTCCGAAAAGTCAATTCGTAAAATTCGATTTCTGCTGCAGTTACTCCTAAAAATTAGAATTTAATGCAAAAAAGTACTCGACCGTACTTATTTATGAGTTATAATAACTTGTGCAACTGAAATGTCGGCAGTGCTTAATACACGAGAACCCTTCATGATATATAATATGTAAGAGCCGAGTTAACAAGTGAACATTTTTTTAAACTCATCAAGTGAAAACCACTTGACTTGGCGTGAAAACTTTTTTAATTAGGCAAACTTGCATATAGTTGCGGAAAATCAGCATGAGTTGAAGAGGGATTTGCGAAGGAGTAGTATTACATAATAAATACTTACCAAGTCAGCCAAATCATTTTGGCCAATGTCAAGTCTCTGCAAGTGATGCAACCTACTCATTGATTTGGGCAGCGTCTGGATGGCATTTTCTCGCAACTCTAAGACTTTCAACTTGGTGAGACGACCAAAATTTGCGTGAAGAAATTCTAAATATGTATCGTTGAGGAAAAGTTCTTCCAAGTTCACGAGTTGAGAGATCCCTTCTGGTAGTTTCGTAAGATGATTCATGCTGAAATAAAGGAATAAGTAACAATTATGTAACCCAAAAGCAATATCAAATTTGACACTGTTGCGAGTTGTGCTTTATTTAATATTCCTTCGCTTTCATAAGTAAAAGTTGCTCACCTGAGGTCGAAGTAGACCAAGTTTTTGCAATTTTTGATGGTATCTGCAACATCGGTGATTGCTGAAAAACAAAAAAAATAACAATTTAAACACTATTGAAATTAAATTAAACATTTGCTCTTAGTTTTCCATTACTAAAGTATTGCTTTCTCTACACCTTTGTTTTTGAGAGGTTAAAAAGAGAATATGGCATCGCATAACATTACAGAAACTGTTCAAAAGATCGTTGTGCAGGCATCAATTTACGAACATTTTCAACGCTTCGTTAACCCGGACTGTTGTTCCAAAACACTTTGAGACTGTCGACACAATCCTGATCCAATCCTAGGCGCATCCTACTCGGCGACCTAAATGCCGACATGCTGAATCGTGAATGATTATACTGCGAGTCGTATATGTATGTAGCAGTAGGGATGATATAAAATGGACCATCAGCTAGACCAGAACAGCTTAATTATACTTCCATCACTATCCTGTCATTACCCTACTCCTCTTCCTAGTCTATCGTGTCAGGAAGATTTTCACAACCGCAACTAATAGCTTTGAATTTAGCTTTGAATTGATTATGCACCACATTATCATCAGACAAAGTGGGAAGTGGAACGTAAGGATACACGAGCAAGGCAAGGATGTTAAAACGAAGTCCAAAATAACCCAAGACTTTCACCCAAAGTGACTGAAACATTCCTTTTTAATAAATAATTACCAACCCTCCTCGTCAAAGGAGACCAGGTAGGCTGAACCAGAAATGTCAGACCGTGAGCAAACCAAAGTAAGTGGTTCTAAATTCATCTTAACAACGTATTTGCAAGAATATAAATATAGTTGCTTTGTTACCCATCTAAATACGTAGCCTCGCCTCGTCATCGTCACTTAACTTATTCAGCATCATTTTCTTTAGAAGCAGTCGTGGAGCTTTCTTTTCCTCCCACACTTTCATTTCGTGTATGTACCACACCACGCTGTACTTCCCGTATCAAATTCAAGACTTTTCTCTCCCTTTGGCTCCCAAACAATGGAATATGCACCGGGATCATTGTCATTCATCCGCCTACAGAGTAATACTAATGTTACATGAGCGAAAGAGATTGAGAGAGCTGGAGTTAGTCCGGAGGCAAATTGAATTAAACTTGTCCATTTTCCTACCAATTTGCGACACACACCACATCAGAGTGAGAGCTTCGCAAATAGGACGCTGAGTCACAAAGTGGGACGTACGCAGTCATGACAAAAGCGATGTAAACACTTAAAACAAAGGGTCATGATGAACGTACGTATTCCATCATGTGACAATTCCCCCTGCCACTGCTGGATATGTGCATGCATAAATATTTTCCAGCATATTGTGCACACTGCCTACCACGGCTTTTCAAATTCTGATTTCAAGTCAAGTTTACGATACAAGACACATCTTTATACCGTGAATAAGAACAACGATGAATGATACATACTGTTAAATGTAAAATAAGTTTATGTATGAAATTTATTGAATACGCGTCTACAATTACCCCGTGTCGTGGTGATGGTTGCCATGGAGACGACGGGGGTGGGATTTTTGGGTGCGCGTCTCTCTTTGTTAAGTCGTAGTAAGATAGTAATTAGGAATAGTCAACACAGTCGAGTTTTAGTCGTTGTCAGAGTCAGACATTTTGGATTTTAGTCGTCGTGGCAGGCAATCAAGTTTAGAATTGTTAGTTCTTTTTTGTTGCACGATCAATTTATAATTAAAGTAAGTCATCAATCAACTCGTGTTGTTGCAGAGCTCTGAATTGTGTTGACCATCGTTTAATTGATTTAAATAAAATCTAGTTTAAGTAGATAAAATAATCGTATAATTCACTCAGTCACTTTCTTAATTCCAACGAGCAAAGCACAATTAAATATAACGTAAAGACACTATACTCCGGGTAGGTGATAGCTTGGTTTTTACATTAGTGGTGACCTCGACGTGATTGCTCGTTGGGTCAGTTTTAGTTGAAAGTGGACTAGTTAATCTTGGTCAGTGAGTTGTGACCTTTTGAGTGAATTAGTTGTACGTGCAAAAGACTGTTCCGTGGAAATCCTGTGCTATTGTTGCTGTCTGGAAGAGGAGCAGATTGAATTAGTGTACGTGTAAAAAGTGTTCCGTGGAAATCCTGGGCGATTGTTGCTGTCTGGACGAGGAGCAGATTCGAAGGAGAGGATTCACATCAAGCCTTGCCTCATTGAGGACCCGACCCTGAGTATTCGGGGGCTGTTCAGGTGATACCTTTCAAGTTTTTATTGTTGCTGTGAAGTAGTCCGTGAGGAAGGAGTGACCGACCAGATTGAAATCGGCGTGTCCGACCCGAGAGGAACTTCAACTTTATTCGTCTATTACTCAATTACTGTCTTGCCTCTTTTGAGGGCCCCATCCTGAGCGTTCGGGAGCCATAGAGGTCGGCGTTGTTGCTGATTAAGTTGATTAACGTGTACTGTTCTAATTGTTTTTGTTTGTTGACTTCGAGATATCAACATGGATCGACTGAAGAAGGCGAGGACTCCTGTTCGAGCTTCGATTACAAAGACAATTGATGGAGCAGTTGCTGAGTTGGCGAAGGATCCGAAGGATACAATGGAACTTACCATCAGGCTCAGAAAATTGCAATCTCTGCAGACGACGATCAGAGAACATGATGAAAAAGTGCTCACCCAGATGTTGGATGATAACTGTACGGCGGAGGCTTATACGGAAGAAAGTGCAGCGAATGAAGAATATTCAGACAAAATCAGTGCAGCTATTTTGAAAATTGAAAAGGTTCTTGATGCAGAAATCCGTCCACTAAGCCCAAGTCCTGCCAGCAGTTATACCACAGCGAACGGTGAACGTGTAAGAAGAAATAGGACTTTTAAACTTCCCAAGATTCAACTTCAGAAATTCAGCGGTGATACAAAGGAATGGCTGGGATGGTGGTCGCAGTTTAGGAAGATCGACGAAGATGATGAACTACATGCAAGTGACAAATTCCAGTACCTACTACAGAGTACGGTATCTGGGTCAAGGGCACGTGGACTGGTCGAAAGCTTCCCAATGACGACAGAAAACTACCCAAAGGCCGTCATCGCTTTGAAGGAAAGATTTGGGAAAGAGAAGTTCCTTCAGCAGGTGTATGTGAGAGAACTACTTCGGCTGGTTATCACAACCGCAAAATCAAAGGAAGTAGTCGTGCTCTCCAAACTTTATGATGACATCGAGACTCAATTAAGGGCATTGGAGTCTTTAGGAATTAAGGCGGAGCAGTCGACCCAGTTCCTGTTTCCTATGGTGGAATCCTGCCTCCCAGAAGAAATCCTACTCATTTGGCAAAGAAGTCCTCTTCGCAAACAAGATGGGTCACAGCTTAACCCGAAGAAAAATGAATTGGATTTTCTAATGGAGTTTCTTCGAGAAGAAGTGGAGGGCGAGGAGAATAGAAAGTTGGTGCGATCCGGCTTCGATGCAGCCATCAAGGGAAAAGAAAAGAACAAGAAGAAGGGTCAATTGGAGAAGAATGAAGAATTCCCCACTGCTGCCGGCCTCTATTCAGGTCAACAAGTTGAACAATGCGTTTTTTGTGGAAAATCTAACCACAAAAGCCAGAAGTGTTTCAAAGCGCAGAAGATGCCACTCGAGGAGAAGAAGATCCTGGTTAAAGAAAATAAGGGATGCTTCATCTGCCTAGGAAGGGGTCATATTGCGAAGAAGTGTAAAGCGTCGGTGTCATGTCGTGTGTGCAAGAGTAATCATCATGAAGTAATGTGTTCTCAAGTCGAGAAGGATGATCAACAGGACAACTCGTACACGTTTATTTCCACCGATGCAGCTCAAACAAACATCCAATGCCAGAGTGATGTTTTGTTGAAGACAGTGCTAGTGAAAGTCGGCTGTCAAGAAAAGAAAGAAGATCGTGTTGTCAGGCTGCTTTTTGACGAAGGAAGTCAAAGAAGCTACATAACCTACAGCACTGCAAAAGCCATCAGAAGTAAGCCAATGGGATCAGAATTCTCCAGAAATGTGCTGTTCGATGGTTCCGTTACTGATGTTGGGCAAGTTTATAAGCATCACATTTTGCTCAGAAGTCTGTACGGAAGAAATCAAGTCAAAGTGGTTTTGAGAGAGAAGCCAATTATTGGAGGTATAGTGCCCAGAGTTCAAAACGGTCCATGGATTCAAGAGTTGAAAGCCAGGGGGATCTTGCTCTCGGACTATTCTCGTCATCAAGTCGCCGAACCAGACATCCAAATTCTAATAGGAAGCGACCTGTGGGGAAGCATCATGACAGGAAGAATGATCAAGTTACGATGTGGGCTCGTCGCGTGTGAATCAGTTTTTGGATGGAGTCTGAGCGGTCCAGTTCCCAAGTTCAATAGTGTGCTGAATGAATCGATCTCAATGTTCACGACTGAAGAAAACGTGCAGGAAATGTGGACATTGGAAGCACTCGGCATTGAGGATCCAATCGAGGTGAAGTCGAAGTTGGATCAAGAATTAATTGCAAAGAAGCATTTTGCAGAGACAGTATCTCGTCAAGCTGATGGACGTTATTCAGTGGGCTTACCATGGATTGGTGAAGAGAAGAATATTCCCAACAATAGGATGGTGGCAGAGAATAGACTCCAGTCAACAACAAGGAGATTACTAAGTACAGGAAAGTTTGACGTATACGGGAACATTTTCAAATCGTGGAAGGAAGAAGGAATAGTGGAGGAAGTAAACGTGTATCATTTGGATGACTTAAACTGCCACTACTTGCCCCACCATCCCGTGTTCAAGGAAAGTGTGACGACCCCGGTGCGACCTGTATTTGATGCCTCTTGCAAGACAAAAAGATATCCATCATTGAATGATTGTCTTCACAAAGGACCTAATCTAATGGAACTCATCCCGTCAGTTTTACTCAGATTTCGGGAGAAGAAGATTGGGGTCGTCTCTGATGTTAGGAAGGCGTTTCAAATGATAGACGTACAGGAATCCGACAGGGATTATTTGAGATTCCTGTGGTGGGAGGACCCTGCCGGAAAGAAAATTAAAATTTACCGTCACTGTCGAGTTGTGTTTGGTGT